AAGTCAATGCAGTCGCATAGGCACCACCAAACTGTTCCTACTAAGTGACAGCAAAAAGGGGAAGACAGATGGAGGACCCCCTACCCCGACGGGCAACATTTCATTAAAGAGAAAAAATCACCAAAGGAGGAAAACAAATCAACAAGGAAGAAAAACAAATCAGTCGTGTGCAAAATGGAAAGACCTCCAAAAGACGAATAAATTAAAAATAAAATACCATATATATAAAAAAAGAAAATGTCGGATTAGAGAAGAGAAGGTGGACGTCCCGAATGAGATGCCCTCCGTCGGCACAGAACTAACCCTGCTGCATCCACCCCAGGTGGAACGCCAAAAAATGACCAAACTGAAAAGGACACCTATCCAGTTGAAGGAAGCAAAAGAGGGGAATGATCAGGTAGACCTACCTTTGGTAGAAGGCAACCCTGTAATTACGACGAATGTGACTGTCCCCTCAGATATTTGCCAATGCTGTGGTGGTCTCTCCACCACCCATACTGTCAACCTCCAAGTGGTTAAGAAGGAAGACAGTACGCATAAGAGGGGAGACTCACAGAGGATCTCACTGGAAGACGGATGCACAAAGAACACCTCCATCTTGGTGGATAAAGAAGCTTCAAATCGTGACAACAACGCCTGTGTGAAGGAGAAAAACACAAAAAAGACCCTTAACAATGATAACGCAAAAAATTTGAAGACGCACAAAACAGGGAAGAAGCAAGTCTTGTCAAAGAACAAAGATAAACCTGTGTGCAGCAAGATGGGTTCTGCTTCAAAACGAGGAGTACAAAGTGGAGCGCTTGGGACAATCACTTTTGGTGAAAATGACCAAAATGGTTCAAATACAAATGGCATCATAGTTGGATGCTCTGCACTGAAATGTCGAAACGGCAGAAAGATCGGAGCAGCGACAATGAGGAGAAACTCATCCGCGTCGAACATTTATAATGATGTGTGCGAAGGTGCAAGTGAGGAGAGCGAACAGAAATGCTCCAAATTGAAAAGGAATAACTACTTTTCTGACACGGAGAAAAGAACCACCTCCTTCGATGACGCATACTCAAGCAACACATCACATTTACGTCCTATCCGAATATTGTCTAAAATTGAATCCTACACCAGCCATTATGATAATAGTATAGGTGAAATAAGCGAGAAAAAATTGAACGTCAATTTGGAGTGTATGAAAGAGACTGGGGAGGGAGCAAAGAACACGGAATATCCTTTCCAATTGGGACTAAATCACCCTGTTGTCCATTTGGAAAATGATTTCCTCAGCAGAGGTACAATGGATAATTGTGCAGGTAAGAAATCCTTGCATAGAAGTGATCATAGTTTGAAGAGAGACACCTGTTGGGGTCAACACTTCCCTCCAAACAGAAGCGTAAGTGAGGGGGATGCCAGCCCATCGTTCGACGGGAGCGTGGATAGTAAGCTGTGTAGGAAGATCCAAGGCATTGGAAAGGACACAAGCAGATGCTACAGCGAGGGGGAAAAGGTTACTCGTACGTGCAGTGAGGTGGTGAAGAAAAGGAGCAACAAGCAAGAGAGAGACAACCAGAAGAGAGACAAGCAAAAGAGGAACAAACAAAAGAGCGACAAACTCCCAGGGGAGAAAACAACACAGCCATCGGGGGAAAGCCAGCTGGCGCGACTCGAGTGCACGATCGACCAACACCTCTGCAGCTACGACGGTGAAAAGAATCCGCCCCAGACAAATTCACAAATGGTCCGCCACGATGAAGCAGCGCACCCACGTGTCGAGGCAGTAGGAGCTGCACGCTCGTCCCCCAAGAAGAAATTGAAAAGGAAGAACAACGAAGGGACACTATGTCTTTATAGCCGAAGTGGCTCCAATGACACAAAGGTGGCAGTCCCCAAGAAAGGGAATCAAAACGAAAGCGTCGAGACGTATCCCATTTTGAGTAAACAGTCTTTGAGCAAGTGCAAGGGCCGAATTCGCGCTCGGAGTGGTTCGAAGGACAGCGGGGAAGGTGGGAAAATGAACCAGACGGCAAAACAAAGTGAAATTGTGCTCGTTGGCGAAGAGGGGAAAAAGAAACAGAAAAAAATAGCAAGTAGCACTAAACGGATAAGCAGCGAATGTAATGATGGCAGCGGAAGGGATATTCTGAAGAAATTGGGTAAACAAATCAGACGCATGAAAAATGACATTGCGCTGGACAGAGATTACTCAGGCAAAGTTGACAGGGTAAAATGCAGAGAGCAGAAGGATGATGGAGGATCCACAGCAGAAATTGAGCTTATCGATGAGGAAGAATCCCCACAAAGAAACAAGAAATGCGAGCGGTTGTACCAGAAGGTGAGGAGAAAACTACGTGATGATCCTGTCGACGGAGAGAAACCCCACCTCGGGAATGAAAAAAAACGCATGAAGAAACTGCTCAAAGATGTGAAATACATTTATGAAGAGTACAAATGTATTAAAAAAGAAAAGGAAGAAAATGAAAAAAAAAAAAACTACTTAAAAAAGGTTCTGGAGAACACTGTTATGAAAACGAACCAAGTAATCAGACTTAATAAAAGCTCATTTCAAGTTTATATCGACAAAATGAGGAAAGAAAATTTATTTTTAAAAAATGAGTTAGATGAAGAATCTCACCAACATCACTACGACCTGCAGCAACTAGTGAACAAAATTACGCACTTGGAACAGGTTAAAGATTTGATAGCCAGACAGAATGAGGAGTTCACCAAAAGGAACAGCATTCTGACAATCGAATGTGAAAAATACAAGAAGAGAGAAGTCGAAATGAGCAAGGCTTTTGATAGTTATAAGAAGAATTTGGAGAAAGAAAAAAAAAAAAAAAAATACATTTTGCGAAAGATTGAGCATTCTTTGAGAAACTGGGAAACCGACTACAACGAACTGAAACACAAATACAACTCGGTGAAGGCACAGAACGGGGAGCTGCTCAAGCGTAGCGACGAATTGGCGGAGCGGAATGACGACCTGGTGCAGAAGAACGAGCTTCTACGCGAGGAAGCACGCGCATTGCGGCGAGAACTGCAGTCCAGGAAACACCTAATGGGCGGGAAGAGCGCACAACAAGTTGGCGCCTTAGGTGCGAAAGGGACCCCCTCGAAAAGGGACACAACTTCTACCGCTACTACTAATAATAATAGTACATTAGGCGATCTCCCCACTGGCAGCAGCACCAGGAGTAGCGCCAAACGGACGCATGGCCGACATCCGCTTAGTGTTGAAGCTGGAGAAGAGACGAAATCAAGCGAAACGGAAGCGAAACAAGAGTTGCATTTAGAAGAGGGCAACACCTCCAACGGGGAAGCTTTATCAACCCAATTAGCATTCCTAAAGGATAGGTTAAAACAAAAATGGAACCCCTCAAAGAAGGACGATTCTCTGATGGATCCCTTCCTCGAGGGGATAATTCAGATGGCTGTTAACCTTCTGGGGGAACAAAACGAAAGAAGGGGTAGCGGCAAGTCGAGGGGAAGCGGCTCACATCTAAGTAGTGTACATTCGAATGATGAAGATCCCAACGGGGCGGCTAACTTCGTCAACACGGCTCGTTCGGATAAAACCGCCAACACCAACAACACGGGCACCCGCCGAGGAGGAACTCCAGAAGACGGAAATCTCAAGATGCTCGTCATGGAACAGATGGAGGAAACAATGAGGTTCCCTGAAAGAATAAAGCAAAATTGCGCACAGAACAATGAGGGGGAGGCTACGACGCAGCAATTGCAGGAACACCATTTGCTGAGCAACGAAACTACAGAGTCGAAAACGGATACCTATGAAACGTTGTCGAGTGAAACCCATGTGGACTTCGAGGAGAGCTTCTCTCTCCAAACGATCACGCGAGAGGGGAACTTCGACACAACGAGGGAGAATTCTACAAAGGGGGGGGTACGAAAATGGGTCAATCATAAGGTAAATTACACCCCCTCTGAAAACCTAACCGAATTAAAACACACAACGGATAATGGTATTCACCCCGACGTGGCGAATGAAACAACAGAAAAGGTGAATAACCTGAACGGAACGAACGGAGCGAACGCGGCGAGTGGTATCCTCCACTGGGGTGACAACGATGGGGAAGGAAGCCAAATGGGCGATCAACATATAGTAAAAGCGCTCCTGGAAAGAAAAAAGAAAAAGAAAAAAAAACTTCACAGTGGTAAAGATAATTATAACGATGAAGAAACACACAAGACAAACGAGCACCCCCTCGATGAGCGGATCCTAAAGACGAAGATTCGAGGCCTCAACGAGAAGAGCCTCACGAAGGGGATGGGTGTAAACGGGTCCAGTTTGCAATCGAACGAGGTGATCACAAGGGCCCTTTCAAAAAAAAACACACAATTAAAAGAAATCCAAAAGAACGATTTTTCTTTGCTCCATGATACGAACAACATAAATAAAAACAATACATCTGACGAAGTCCCAACAGCGAACGATGCTTTGACGGAAAGGAGGAAGGTTACGCATGCTGGGGATGGTAAAATTGCAGAGCCCGCACTCACCGATGGCACACACAAGAAGAACGGGCCAGGTGATAATTCGAAGGGGAAGAAGAAGGAACTGAATGCCATGTTGGATTGCATTTTCGATACATCCTCGGATCACTCGTCCATCAGCGCAAACATGGTGGACATTCAGAGCTTAATTGAGAGCAACCTCAAAAATATATTCAGCGCGCAGGATTAGAGGGCATAATTATAGGGAATCATTAGAGGGAATCGTTTGTGGGAAGTATTAGCGCGGGCAAGACGCATTGCATGTGGATCTGGGCATCGCCCATAGGGGTGGTATCACACCTGGAGAGGACACACATGGAGAGGCCAGAATCGCGTCATTTTTGTGCCACCACGTGTTTGCCAGTTAGCGCCGGTAGATAGGCCACGCATCAGGTACACACGCATAATCCAATAACAAGTTCGCACCCTTTACCGCGTAAAAAGGAGTACCCCGTTCATTTTTGCCTATTTCGCTTGTCATGATGCGTATCACGATGCCCCGCATGGAACAATAGCGTGGAAGACGAATGGGAACGAAAAATTCAAACCAAAGAAAAACAGACTGCGAAGACGAAAAAAACAGACTGATGTGAGTCCCCTTCGATGCTGCTATTCGGCGAATTGACAAAATAACGATCTCGTAGTTCCCAAAACGTGCGTTGTGCAGGGACGACTAAGAAAAGGCGCGTTTGTTCCGCCACACACAAGGAGACATTAGCCCAAGGCGCGTAACGAGCACACATACAAGCGCGCGAAGATAGTTCTGGCCGCGCCCTGGCATACGCATGTGCTGAGATGCAATTGTTTGGCGCGTCATACTCCTACGTGCATGCATGGCAGTCTATGTGAGAACAATCGCACGGGTATGTAAAATACGTACATGCCAAACCTGCGCAAATGATACCACAGCATTTCAAAGGAAAGCCTTTCATAGCATATTTCACTATGGTACTTTTTTTTTTTTTTTTTTTTTTATTAAAAGGATTAAATGCCAATCATTTGTTTCACATAAGTAAAAGTTAACTTATTTGGTCTGCCTAATTCTTAAAAAGCAAAGAAGCTAACACTTCTCTTTTTTTTTAATCTTTCTCAGCGTTTTTTCTTTGTTTCTGGCAAATATCGATGCGCCTTCAAAGGATAAATAATTGCTACACGTATCTAGTATAAATGCATACATACGTATGTATAAGTTCCCTTCCACACTGCACAATAATTTTTTTTCGGGCATTTTTTCCTCTTTTTCGTTACAAGGAGCAATATTTCGAGAAACCCTTCGACAGCACTTAAGATAGCGCCTGTTATTTTTTTAATTTCTAAATATTTATTTCCCCACTCATCGCCGAGTTTTTTTTTTTTTTCCCTTAACAATTTTGCTTATAAAAACACGCATTTGTTTTCTGTATGCTACAGCCCCACTTACCCATTTCCTAACCTTCTGTTTTCTTTGCTTGGGGATTTCATAAGTGGCTGCGCATGGCGTGACATGAAGTGACACGATTGAAAGGCCATAACTGGCTTAACGGGAAATGAAACAAAAGAAAACGTTTGTAAAATTGTACAAGCTTTCCCCCCTTTTACTGTTATTTACGATTTTTTTTTTTCATTTGACATCAATTTTACACTCCCCTTAATCGTGTTAAAATTGTTTACAAATTTAAAATTAAAAATACTGAAATTATGCGAAAATGTAATCTTAACACATCCCAGTGATTTCTGTTCGTTTGTTTTTACGCCCCTTGGCTTGGCTTTCCTTTGGTTTTTTTTTCTTTTTCTTTTTTTTTTTTATTCAATTCAAATGAAGCCATTCTTTCAACGGGGGAAAGCATTAGTGTACAATTTTTTTTTTAAAACCCATTATATGCTAGGAAATATGACATGTTCAATGCAGACCGAATAAGACACATATGAGAAGGTGTATATATGCATACCATTTTCAGGGCTTTTTCTTTTTTTTTTTTTTCCTCGCATATGATTTGCTACAGGTCTTACATTCCTGCACGGCGCGTCGTTACACTTGGTCATCGTAATGCGTTGTCCCACCTCGTGAGTTAGCGGCCACTCCGTTAAATAGCAGCATCCCCCCCCCGCAGCACTTCCCCTCTTCTGAAAGTTTCAGTGGTTGAGTTTCCGCCTCGGTTGTACAATGGTTTTCTTGTGAAAACGACCGATCACGCTACTCGGCTTAGTGTTTTTACCTATATTTTTTTTGCCCTTTTTTCGCAATTTTCTTCACATCTCTGGTACTTTTCTGCTAGTTTCTTTTATTTCGCTTTTGATGCGTCTTTATTGCCTCTTCAGTGCAGTGCATTTTTCTGGAACTTCTTTTTAATGTTCGCTCGCGCCACAACCCCCCTGAAGAACAGTGCCGGAAAATGCAAACGAAACCAAGTTTCAAACGATGGACGAAAAGCAAACGAACGACAAGATAAAAGTTGTGAACGTCTTTCAGAATGAAGAAATAGCTGGAAAGAAGAAAAAAATACACTACCCAAACAAGCTCGAAGTAGGGAAATGCGCAATGAGAAAAGTTTGCACCAACACGCCAGTCCGTCTATGGCCCGTTCATATTATTTCCAAGTGTTACACAATATGCGCAGATTTTTGCCCGTAAATGGAGCAGAACTGTGTGTGTGCGTCTTGGCCATCCGCAGCTACAACGCCGTTTCGCGCCCAGTGTGCATCGAAAAAGTTATTGCTGTTCAGGCGTCTTGCAATATTTTTCGCCATTTTTACACCATTGCACATGTATTTTTTTTTTATTCTTTTTCCCGTTTGGCTAGTTCGAGAAGGGAATAATCCGCAACGCAATCGTGTCCACAAATTCGAACAAGTGTACCAAACTGGAGGAAAGGGACAGGGAGAAGAAAAATTGCATCATATTTCGAGAACAATGCGAGTACTGCCTAACGAACTTTTCGATAAGCGGCCACCTAATTTTAACGAAAGAATCCTTGCTGTTTGAACCAGACCTCAGAGACAAAAATGTGATAACGAACGGATTTGGCATGTATCAAATTTTTATCGATTTGTACGATATTTACGAGTGCGCCCATATTGTGGTGCCGACGAAGGACACCTACCTGTGTAACAATGAAGACACGTGTGGTTTTATCCAAGTGTTGTTAAAAAGTATTTACCATCGAATATGCAACGATGCCTCGCAAAAGAAAAACAGCACAGCTAGTTGTTACAGTGGTGTGAATAGCAACTCCAGCACGGATGACTTGAACAAACAGAAAAGCATTTCCTACTATAAATACATCAGCAGGAGCTTGTCCTATGTATTCAATTTAGCCCAACCGCTCGTTCAAAACACGTCGTCTTTTAAAGACGAAAAAAATGACCACCTGTTGGGAGCAACCACTTACCCTTCGAACATTTCGAAGAATGTCATAAATGTTGATCATCAGAGAAGGGAAGACGAAAATGATGATTTAAAAAAAAAAAAAAATAGCTTTTTAAATTTTGATATTTCCTCTCCAAAGAATAACATCGTGGAACATCTACAAGACAGTGATTTAAAGATTTACCAAAAAATTAACGAGGCGGATTATAGCAGCGCAATTCCTGCTCACCCGAATATAACTTATAAAAATAATCTCAATTTAGCCAACTCCGGGTATTCTTTTAAGGAAAGTGAGGCGAACAATTCCACTTTGTCGGGAAAGCAAAAAAGAGACTCCTTCAGTGTAGCCAAGGAGGCTTCTTCGAAGGAGGCATCATCCAAAGGGGAGCTCTCGACCGTGGGAAAGCCCCAATCAGGGTTCCCTAACGTGGAAACTGCACACGGTAACTTCACCAAGGCGAGTGGAATAAAAGAGAGAGATTCCATGAAGAGAGAAGACAGTGCCACCTTCCCGAGCGAGGCACAAAGTTCATGCTCAAAGACGCTGAAAAATATTTCCTTCGAGTTGCATCATCAAACATCGGGAAGCTCATTCACCGGGGGGAACTACAGCAATACGTGCGGAGATATTCTTTGCACCGATGGGAATCAGATCCAGTGGGGAAACAGAGGACCAGAAGAAGAACCTAGGCAGAACCTCGAAGGGCAGAAAAAGGCGCAGAAGAAATATGAGGAGAAAAGCTTCATATTGTTCAGATTCTTTAACAACAATAAGGCATACGAAACGACAACAAAGATAATCAAAGAAATTGATGAAGTGAGAAAATCACAGAACAAAATAAAGAAGACAATCACCTCGGTGCCATTCACATCAAACGAATTGTTAAGGTGCATCATTGAGCAGTCCTTACTGGCCAAGGAATCCAAAAAAAAAACACAGGCAACCAATTCAACCAATGATGTGAAGGACTCTAATTATTTACCATTAATCCCGAAACTGGAGTACATTAACGGTGCAGTAAAATTGTTAAGCAAAGAAATGACCAAGCAGATAAACTACTACCTCCCCCCGACCCTCAGCATCAAAATATGGAAGCTAGTCTTCTGCTCAAGTATACATGGGGTGTCCTTCAAAACGTTGTATAGGAGTGTATCCAACAAAGGTAGCGTAATTATGCTAATCTGCGATATGGAGAATATATTGTTCGGCTGCTTCCTGGACAAGCTACACTGCGATAATTGTTACTACGGGTCTGGGGAAAACTTTTTGTTTACCTTTAAAAATGGGGACAAAGCCTTGCAGGGAGGCAGGGACAAAAAAATAAAAGATGAAGACGAGAAAGTGGATAATAATGGAAGCAGTTGTGCCTATGACAAGAACATCGACAGTTTTTACCCATTGAAAGAGATCGCTGAGAACGTTAAGCGGAAGAACACCGCTTTACACATGAACGAGGGGAAGCTGGGAAATAATTCGAGGTTCAATTCGCAGGAAAAGCTCACCACTGATTTACAAGACAACATGAAGAATTCCATTAGAGGGGATGCCAATCAGGAGGGTCCCTCGCGCACTCCCTCCAATTACATGAATAGGCTCAAAACGGATATACACGATTTGGATTGTGGTGAGGATGAAGAGGGGGGTAACACTCCTGGTGGCCCCTGCGGTGGTAAAAATACGGAGGAGTCCCACAATAAAGGTAATATGACTTCTGAGGACTGTTACCATGACAACGATGAAAACCAGCGCGCATCGTTGGACCCCATGCAGTGCAAAACGAAGAAGCTCAACGAAGAGAAGTACCACCATTTAACCCCCCTCCCGGGGGAGAAGCAGCCCTCGAGGGGTGACAACCCCGGAGATACCAAAACTGGGGAAACAAGCGAAAATATGAAAACAAAACAAATTGGCAATGATAATGCGGCCATTCAGGTGTTCACCTGGACTACTCGAAACAATTATTTTGTCTACTCGGATGAAAAATCGATAACGATAGGCGGTGGGGATAACTGCTCGCTGCTCATTAATGACGACTTGTGCAAGGGGCAGACCAACAGGAGCAGCACATACGATAACGACTTGCTTACCCACGACGAGGAATTCGAAATTCAGTTTTTGCAGCTCTGGGTGTTTGACGATTCGTAGGGATGGGGGAGGAGGTAAGCCCCGCTGTTGTGATATTTTGTTCTGCTGCAGATCAGCGAGCATACATTCCCGCGCGACGTATCGGTGGGTGGGACATCCCCAATTGTGCTGTCTCTCCCCCATTTAGTGGTTTGCCGCTTAACCTACAAAGCGAACGTGTTGACGCCGAAGGGACAGACATGTTCTCGAACCTAACGACAATACTACGCCCAAATGCAGCTTCTTTTTTGTTTTGCCTGCGCACGTGAAGTGATTGTTGTGCGCATGTCGTTTTTAAGTGTACACATACGTGGATATGTGCACGCCTATACAGTTTATATGTAGTGGATATGTGCGTTTGTTATATTCACTCACCTGCACGTGCATATCTTTTCTTTTTTTTTTTTTTTTTTTTTTTTTCTTCTTTTGCTCCCACCCCCCCCGGATTCCCCATTTTACTAGTCGCATTTTATGTGACATTTGCAATTCCTTTTTTTTACAACCATGTGGAACAAGTGGGGGAACATCTTTTTTCTTTTTTTTTTGTTCGAAGAATCTTACTTCACGAAATTTACCGCGCAAGCGTGTATCTTAACATACCAACCATCTGGTACCTTTTTTTTAATTGTAAGCCAATTTCGTTGGACAGAAATGAAATGGAGACAAGATTATTAATTTTATGTGTATTCCAAAGGGGAAAATGGGATGAGCGGGAACAAACGAATAGGCGGCGTTGTAATTTCCATCTAGCCCCTGCACACGTGCGCGCCTTCTTTTCCTTTTTTTATTATACACACAATGTGTAGCTAGCCATTATGCTCCAAAAAAAAAAAAAGAAAAAACTTTGAACTTGTCACATGAAAAAAGAGAAAAAAATAAAAAATGAAGATCATGGCGATGATGATGAGCGAGCTAGCCAAAAATAGCGCTCCCAATTCTAAGCTGCGTCGTTCGGTGCTTAATGGCTAGTTCGAGGTCGCCGGACATGCCCATACTCATATGAAATTTTCTGTCAGAAAAGTAATCACGAATAACTGTATTGCTGAGCAGTCTAGTTTTTATATCATTCAAAATTACGAAGGAGTTTTCCCTATTGGCAATTTCTAACGAGGAAATGGTCATGAGTCCCTTAAAAATGAGAAATTCACAATTGTTGATAATGTACAGAATGGTGCTTTCAATATCATCATAGTGGTTATGCAGAATGCCTGTTTTGTTCGGGTCATCCGTTGTTTTGATTTGCATAAGCACACGGATTTTTTTTACCTGGTCAGTGGTTTTCTGTTCATTCTCGTTTATACTTTTTAAATAATTATTTAACAGGGTGGCTTTTTTTTCCTTATCTAGCGATTCCACCATATGGAGGTTTTTTAAATTTGCCAAGACTTTGCATTTCTTTGATTGGAGGTTTCCTATGAAATGCCACTTGATGGTGTCTGGTAGCTGCTTCGCCTTCTCCTCCAAGGCTTCCAGAGAATTCTCCCCAAAGTGGTACTTCTTGTCATACGTGTGAATGTTATTTATTTCTTCACTGCCTACATATTTGCTAACAATTAGTATCTTCGGCGGGGCAACACCGCAGTTGTCACAGATGTACTTTATTTTATTTTCAATCTCTTTTAGATTGGTAATGTACTTCATCGTGTTCTCCGTTTGTTCACGTGGAGGAGGGGTGATCGCATTGAAAGATTTGGGATTGCTTCTTATGTGCTACACTTTCTTTGTTGTAATCCTTGCGCCGGGGAGTGGCGCCCTATACGCTCGTTATGGAGTGGCCTCTGTGTGAAGGACTCTCGAATTGCTACTCTCCTATTTTGCCTACTCCTCTATCCAGTAGGAAAATGGGTACGCATAAAACATATTGTTCGTGGAACTTGCATCATCTTGTAAGCCTCCCCTTTCGATTGGTAACTTCTGCCAGGGAAGTTACTCCTACCGTGGATGGTAGAAGGGAAATATTCGGTAGCACTTTTTTGTTTTTTTTTTTCCCTGAAAGGCGCCTCTCCTACTGATGCCTTCTTGGCGGGACTGCGAGTTTGTTCTCTCGGAGGGAACAGAAATAAATTGCCGTTTCACGCTCCATCATCGGTTGGTCAACACGACAACGAATTTGTCACGCGCGCGTTGCAGTTGCGGCGTGGAAAAAAAAAACACAAACATAAGCATATGAACGCATGAACATATGAACATAATTGTATGCGTATTCGTACACGTAAACAGAAGCGCGCGATCATGGGGAGGGCCCCAACGGACTATGCATACTGCAGAAGAAAAGGATAAAACGCAAACGCCCAAATTCGCGTGTGCCTATGCGGCTCCTACTGACTCGCCGCGGCGCGGAGGAGGGGGCACCACGCTAGTCCATTTTGTCTTTCTTTCCGCTGCTGCATTGACCTCCATCCTCCGCGGTCCCCCCCGAATCGTCAAACAAAATGACCAAAATAAAAAGGAAAAAACAAAAAAGAGACAGATAAATGTACGTATAAAATGGATAAAAAGCAAAGTGCACTTTTTTGTTTTTATCATAATGCAGGGGAGATCGAACGGGCAGGAAAAAATGCAAATTTAATACGTTGTAGCCTTTTCTGCGGAAATATATCCTTATTTTATACACACCGTGTTCGTTTGGCAAATGAAAACTTTTGTAGTAAGTTGCACTGTCGGCATTTCTGTACAGATTTAGGAAATCTCTTCTGTGAACTTCCATTTTGACGAGTTCGTACTGAATGTCCCTCCGTTTGAGGGGGACCCAGAAGTTGCTCTTCAACTCGTAAAGGTCGATGGACAGGTGGATCAAATCGTTTGCGAAAAAGGGAGTGGCCGCTATGCGGTGTCCCCCTGAGAGGTCACCCCCTAAGAGGTCACCCCCTGAGAGGTGACCTCCTGATAAGTCTTCCGCTGCGTGACTCATTTTTCCTCCTCCTCTGTACAGTTTAAACTTATCGTACCGAACGATGCCGCTCTTTTTAAAATTCCACGCAAGTATCTCTTGGGCCAATTTTTTATTCTCCCCATTTGTGTGAAAAAAGAGGTCCGAGAAAATGTCACTTGACGATGAGAAAACCAATCGTGAGTTATTGTCCCACTGGCTGGAAGACACTAAAGATAAGTTCGTTCCCTGTTTTGCCTTTTTCATCACGTTGCCATTTTTGTCGTACAGAAGACATGTCTGTGTGCAGGTTACGACTGAGAGAATGTGCTTCGTCTTTCCCATCATGACATGTGCTGTCCCTTGGAAGAGTAAAACTTTCCTTTTGTTCTCCCCGGAAGGGTTAACAACGATTGACGTATCTCGTATTATTTCTCCTGTGTATAAGGCATACCCCTGGTTGATTCTCCCCCCAGGGATCTCTACCCCCTCTCGTGATGCAGTTCCAAATGGATCTTTCACATAGGACCCACTTCCATACACCTGAATATGCAACTGTGTTAAGAATTGCATCCCGCTTCTCCCGCTTACATTGTTAAGACTTAAAAAAACGTTTTTCTTCTTTTCTCTGAAGATGTTTACATAGCTGGCGCTTAGCGATTCGACCACTTGGTCGTCCAAGGCATCCAGGATGATCACTAGTCCGTCGTAAATGTCGGCATCCTCGGCCAACAGCGCATCACTGTCACCACCACTCCTGAGCCGAACGAACTTGCCTACATGGTGGCCCTCTTCCCCGTCCAGCATGTGCAAAAACTCTCCATGAGTCACTGACACATTCGGTAGGTTACTCACCAGTACGAGTTTACTCCCCTGGAATTTCTTTACTCTGTTTTGTAAAGATCCCCTGACGGATTGCCTATCGAAGGGAACCCTTTCCAGTTTGATACTTTCACACCAGAATGTCTGTACGGTAATGAGGAGAAAAAGGATGAGGATGGGGAGGATCAGCTTCTTCTTTGTTGACCACTCCTTCTCCATGGCTCCCGCAGAATGATCTGGAAGATGAACCGGATGGTGAAGCGTAGGTGTAGCTGCAGTTTATTGGCGACATGTTTAGATATGCATATGTGAGGGAAGAGACCGTGCGATTGTAGGAAAATTTTGGCGAAACATAGAGAAAAAATCACTCCCCTCCTACCCGTGGTGACAGTTGGACCATTCTGTTGTGCGGGACTCACCAAACTGGTCACTTTTAAAATTTTCCCCCTTTTTTTTTCCCCTCATAAGTGGGCAGGAGCAAGCCGTATCCGTTTCATTGGCAGATCCACAATGAAGAATCTCCTCGCTCACAGAGGGGACGTCCCGAAAAATATCGACCTCTCAGAAGCGTTTTTTTTTTTAGTGATGGTGGGGGCAGGAAAGTACCCTTCGGAAACGCCTCTCTCCCGACATGGTAGCCATTGTCGGAGTTAACATTTGGCTGGGCCAACTCCTCAAGCGACAGCTACTTACATCACGAATTGTCATTAAAAAGAAAGGAATGCAAAATAAAGGTTTTTTTTCTTGTTCTTGTTCACTGTAGGTGCACACATGGAGCGAGAAACACCAACCGTAATTGGAAGGACGCACATGGAAAAGTTTTGTAAAGGAGGCATGTAAAATTAAGAGTAAAAAAAAAGAAATGGAGACAACACAAAGGGGAGGGAAGCAATGATGGCGTTTCCGCGTGACGACTCTTATGAGGATCCCCCCTAAAGGGGAAATAAGAAAAAAAAAAGAAGAAATAAAGGGGGAACTATACCTACCGTGTGCACCGTAATAACATTATAAACGTCCCTCTTGGTGAGAGTTTTCTTCGATGAGTGCTCCGTTCGGTCTTATACTAAATATGCTCCTTGTAATGCCTTCACTCAACTGATGCTGCAAATTTGTTCAGTCGCGTGGAATACCCGCTTTTGGTGGTCTATCCGGTCGAGTTCGGGGGGGAGTTACCCATGTGTGTCTTCTCCTGGAGGGCGCTACATCGAGAGTTCGGCACTTTACCACTTCGAAACTTCAGCACTTTGACACCTCGCCGCCGTACCCCCTTGATTATTCCTCCACAGAGTCGTGCCTAACGATGGCCACCCTTTCGTACGTGTAGCACTTGTTGAAGCAAACGATGGAGATGGAAAGAGAAATCAGGCCAAGGAGGAAGAGGTAGTAGTAGTGCTTCATGCTTATGAACTCAAACACTACAGAAATGAAGAAGGCACCAAGGAAAAGAGCGTAGTAGGAGAAGAAGGCAGCGACGACTTTACACTCTTTAGGAAATGAATCAAACACGTGACTCCAAATCATATGTCCAAACCCTAAGGACAAGCCGATAAAATAGGCAGCGATCGCACCAATCAGCATAACTTTGTGTAGAAGGCTTGTAAAATCAAGGAAGTAGGAGCCAAATAAACATGCTGCTGAAATGCCTTGTACAACCAGGCCAGTAATTAAGAGATCCCTCCTCTCATATGTCTGAATCAATCTTGTAGAGACGATGGAGCTAATAAGGTAAAGAGACATAAAGGCAACTGAGATAAATGTATTAGCCTTGGTGCTAGAGAAAGCCTTGAAAAAGAAAAACATAGAATTGAAAAATAGGAATGATCCATTAAGAGAGTAAAGAAAACAGAGCAGCATCGCTACAAAGGAAGTCTTCCGTAACGCTTCGTTTTGAAAAAAATTCACTATTGGCATATCCTTTCCTAGTAAGCTCACTTCCTTTGTCGTTTCATTTCTGTGATATTCTTCCGTCTCGTCAAAATTTTTTATGTTCAATTTGGTCTTGGACTTTTCATACGTTTCAAATTTCTTTGATTCGTACAGATGTTGTGGTGTGTCCAGAGTAAATACGAAAGAGAAGAGAAGCAGAGACACCAAACTGAAGAGTAAGGGTAACGCCAAGTGCACTTTATACAGCACAGTCAACACCCAATATGTCGTCTTCGGGTTGGAGAAGCGCATATTCGCATACATGGCTCCGAAAAGGTGACTAATCAGTAACCCTAGTGCGAAAAATATCTGCATGTAGAACCCATAGTATTTCTTGTGATCCTTCGGGGTGTACTCTAAAATGTAACAAGATACAATCACCACAGATGCTCCAATGGCTAGTCCAAAAAGCGCTTGAGAGGATAAAAATATAACTATGTGAGGGGAACTATATACTGTTAATAAGCTTCCAATGATATAGAGATAGTGCACTCCCATGAGTGCCTTTCTTCGGTTGGAACTCTTAAAGTATAGCGTAATGAGACACCCGAGGAAAGCGCTCATGAAGAGAGTGAAGTAGAAGCTTGCGAAGTACCACTTCTCCTTCTCGCACATGATGTACCCCTCTGGGCATATCTTGAAATCTCTCACCAGCATCATTCTCGCCAGGTTCGTCGCCGATAAACACAGCCCGCAGTTCACCACCGCCAGGCAGGCGTTGGTGATCACCTTCGTCAGGTACAACATTTTGGAAATGCAGAGGGGGGTTTGCTTCGCTATTTGGCGGCTTCGAAATTACTCAGCTTCTGGACTACTCAGATTCTCGACTTCTGAGCTTCTCAACTTCTCAGCTTGACAACGTTGAGTCTCCTTTGCGAGCTCCGCTTCGTCGGGCTACCTCCCTGTGCCGCCGATCGTGGATGCTCTCCCGTTTATGCGATCGATCGGCTGGCGAACTGGCCCGTTAACTAGCTCCTCAACCCGATTGTTAACTGGGCGGCTAACTCGGTGGCTAACTTGGTGGCTAACTCGATGGTTGACTCTCCCTTTGCGAAGTTTCCCCTCCCCTTCTCGTGAACCCCTTTTGGACACGAAAAAAAAAAAAAAAGAAAAAAACAGAGGAAAAGTGACTCGGTGAGGACTGTATATTTGGGGACAAATATTGTACTATGTTGAAAAAGGCCAAGTCCAGTGAGCGTGCAGGAAAAAATGTGTAAGTGGGTGTAACAATTCACAAAAGGTTGCGAAAAAAAAAAGAAAATATAAACGTGCCTCCGCGTGTCCTTGTACGCGCAGCTACACATATGCGGACACCGCCGGGCGAAATGTTACAACAACAGAATGGATCTTACACAAAGGGCGAGAGAGAACCCGCGGCTTGAGTTACATCTGGAGAAAGGAGCAGAGGCGGGTGGAAAGGGATCAAAAAAATTAGACATCCCAGTTACAGACGATGCATGCGTTGAGTGAATTTTTTCTTTTTTTTTCTCCAGGGGGGCACATCGCGTGGGGTTAATTTTGGGGGGAAAAAAAAAAAAAAAAGAGAAAAAAAGTGAAAAAAAAAAGTGAAAAAAAAAAGTGAAAAAAAAAGTGAAAAAGAAAGGCAAGAAGGGGGGGAAATGCAAAAGAGATGGCCCTACAAATGGAAACAACGTGGAAAAGACGTGACAACAGAAGTTCCAGCTGATGTAGCAGCTGACGTGTCGGGAAACATCAGGGGCGGACCCCCCCTCTAGTGGCTGCTTCACAGGTCCTCCTCCACTTCCAACAGATCGTCCACCATGTCGATCAGCGTGTCCAACTTGAGGGGGAAGAGCAGAAATCTTTTCCTTTTCAGTTTGTTTGAGCCTGCGTACGGGGGGAAGAAGAAAAGAGGGAGAATTGTGGTAAAAATGAGTAAAGTGGGGGAAGGAAGCACAACGGTGATTCGGTTCGGCCTTCACAGGTCACTCTTCACACGTCACACTGTACACTTCACTAAGTTCCCCATTCGCACTGCGCTCGTCTGAATGACGAAACGGAATTGTAGGGGAACCATCAAGTCGCTCTCCCAGAGTGACCAACGCAAAGTTGCTTCTGTCGCGCATGCCGCCCCTTTCGCCGCTGCCTCGCCTGTCTTACCCGTGGGGTAAATCGCCACGCTGGGGTAAAAGTCAACGGACTCATCAGTCATGTCGTTTAACTTAGCATCCATGGTGGCCACTAAGACCTTTTTATATTTATTTTCCAGGTGGAAGAAATTGGAGACATGGGACCAGAAAGAGAAAAGGGGCTTGCATTCTTTGCATCCCTCGACATGATAAAAAAGTAAAACAATCTTTTCTGGGTCTAAGACGAGGGAATCGAAATTATTGGCACAAACAATTTGATAGTTCTGTTGCTCTCTTCTTTTTACTTCCTTTTGTGACTTCTTAATTTGAGGAAGTTCGTTTTGATAAAATTGGGTGATAGCTTGGGTAAGTTGTTCCGCGTCTATTTTGTCGCTCTCCAGATGCTTGATGTATTTCTTGGGCCTTAATAGGCCGAACAGGACGTCCACCGTGGCGTCTCTGTAGTCCACCACGAGGATGAAATTGCCGCCCTTCTCGGTGCCCAGCAAATCGGCCACTTCGTCGCTCTTGGGGAAGACGAATCGGAGCTGCGGAGGGGTGTGGAATGGTGGAGATATCAAATGGAGGAGGTGTCAAATGGGAGAGATGTTGAATCGGCGAAGTGTTGATGCAAGCCGCCAATCCCTACCTGCGGGTGGTGCGCCCGTATGACGGGGGCCAACTCCACGTACAGCGCGTCCGAGTAGTGCCCAAAGTGGGGGTATAGGTAGACATAAATTTCGCCCTTCTGCGCTTTGTATAAGCTCCTCTTATAATTGATAATCACGGGAAACTGCGCCATGTACTCACTGGCGAATGTAAGGATGTCACTAGAGACCCATACGTTATTTTTCGGTTTGTACAGATCACTATATTTTGTGTTCGCTTCCGGAATGGTAGCCCCTGGCCCGTTGGATATTTCAATTCTTACGTCAGACTGCAGATCGGTGTAGACCATCCCCACGGCTAAGTTAGGCAGTGAGTGTGTTTCCCCAAAATGGAAAAACTTATGAACATGGTCAGAATTTTTTACACAAAAAGCAATAATACTAGCATACCCTTTCTTCTTTTGCATCTCGACATATTTCTCAACATGATCTTTCTCCATCACTTCTATAGATGGGGTAGGAAGAAGTTTAAACCACTCCACGATATTTTCCTTTGTATATTTTTTCCCAAAGGTGTATCCTTTTTCTGGATCGAAATCTTTAAAAGTCAAAATTTTTGGAACTTTTTTGATGTCGAAATTGTCTGCCGTTTTTTTGAGGGTAATTGAGTCAACATAAACGAATACTATATCGTCACTGGCTATCTCATCTGCTGCCTTCACGAATTCTTTGTAGACATCTTTGCATGCCACTTCCTTATTGTTGCAAAAGAGAGCTATGCAGTTAAGTGTGTGCTGACTATATATTTGTAACTCCACCTCGTGGGTTAGGTGTTTCACATTTTTGGCCTCTCCATCGGTGACGCCTTCCCAAATCGCGCCGTTAACAAGGGAGTTGTAGCCCCAATAAAGGAACAGCAACATGGGCAAGGCCCAGCACAGCGGGAAGTACAACACACTCCGCGTGGCCTTCTCCGCCATGTTGCCCAAGCGAACTGTCCTTATAGCTACTTTAGCGGTTTGTCTGCCTCCCTCGTGCGGGCGCACATGAGTAAGCGTGTGTACAGAGGTGTCTGTATATGTTTTGTGTATTCTTCTCTCCTAGCCCTTATACACGCGTTGTTATATTTCTATGTGCATGTATTGGATTGAGAGTTTCCTTCCGGGTCTGTGCTATGCTGCCTTATTACGCGCTTCCGCTACTCCCCTTCGAAAGCTCTGCACGAAAACCCACAAAGAGAGAGGCGCGCTCGAAGGGGGAAGTACACTCACGGGCACAAAAATATAAAAAAGAGAAATCAAAGCAGCAATTGCTGCAATCAGCATAAGTCAGCCCCACCACGCGGCTTAAAAAAAAAAAAAAGAAGGTAAGGACTAGCGGGACAGGGAACAGCCAAAAAAGGGGGAAGAATGTAAAGGGGTCATCATAAAGGTATAAAGGTGTGGGAAAAGAAAAGGAAAAAAAAAAAAAAAAGAAAATCCCCCGTGTGAGCCAAGGTAATCTTACTCAGCTTAAGTAGCTTCATTTAGCATCACGCGGTGATGTGGAAGGGGGAAGCAAGCACAAATGGAAACATAACGCCACGCCAAATGGAACTCCAAATGGAACTGCTAATGGAACTCCGAATGGAATTCATGTGGCTATCCAAATGGGACTGATGTACCTATCCAAATGTCCATCGTTCGGTCACCCCTAGTGAAACTCACACGAGGGGGAGATCCTACCGGAAGAAAAAACAATCCCGCAGCCAGTGTGGCAGAAAAAGATGCGCACAAGGGCATGCAGCTTAGGCATGCGCAAAAGGTTATACGCTCTTCTCCACCTATACGCTTCACCGCCGCGCCGCCCTACTGCATGGGGACAAAAGACACCTCCGCCAGGATCACCAAAGGGACACCCTCACCGAGCCGAGGTACTCTCATTTTTTTGCGTAAGCCCTCGGGCAAGTGTGCATGTGCATACCTTGTAGTGCCGGTTAACTGCATCGCTCCACGCACCTCGCTTGGTTGCACTTGCGCGCTAGCAGCCGTAGAAAAGGGGCATAGCTCTTCTGAAGCGATTTCTTTGGATGTAAAATCCCCCCAAAGGTAGCCTCCTCTCCCCAGTGATGTTTCTTTTTTTTTATTTATTTATTTTATTATTATTTTTTTTTTTTTTTTAAATGTTTGAGTCCTTCAAAGGAAGGGTTTTCTCCCGTTTTACAATTCAATTTAGCACTTTACACAAATCAAAGAAAGAAAAAAAAAAAATAGTGGCACAAAAGGAACAGCACTCAAATGAACGGTAAAAACTTGCAAAGGTGAAAAAAATAAAATAAACGCAACACAGGCTCACACGCTTACATGTAGACAGGAACACTCACATGCGCAACAGAGAGACAGGGGTATATTTGCTCACTTCGAACACGCGTTTTACACATCCCTCGGGTGTAAGGCGAATCGTCTTAAGTACTGGCCATTTATATCAGGCGCGAATGGCAGTATATATACCCTACGGGGGGGCCTTGCTCACCCATCCCAACTGTATCTGTCTGCATGTGCGAAGTGAAGCAACCTACTACGCTGTAGTAAAAGCTGCACACAAAAAAGGAATCGCCCTCACTCCATGATTAATATCGCTCTGTTTGCGACCATACTTGCCACTTCCCAAAAACCACCACGAAAAAAGACAAAAAAACAAAAAAAAAACCCTCGCGCGAGCGTACCCCAATCAGAAGGAAGACTCCTTTTTATTCAACGAGTAGACATTATTCCTGTAGTCCCATCGCAGAATTCCCTTTTCTCCTTCGTCCCTTCCACTGCAAATATGAAGGAGCTGTGCCTCCCGCCCATCACTACCAATAACGATTAAACAGGGAACATCACTTCTCGGCCCAGACCCATAGAAGGGGACTTCGTATGGGTTCATCACTCGGAAGTGCTTCTTCAGAATGTCCGTTAAGGGGTCAGCTATGTCGATGTACAGCCACGGCATGTGCTTCTTGTGGTCTTCGAAGGAGGTTCTGTCCGGGTCCGTACTCACAAAGATTACTTCAATTTTCTGGCTGGCTCCTGCCTCGTTTATGGTTTTGTAGTACTAAAATGGGGGGAGAGGGGGGTCAAAAAGGGAAACGAATGATAAAGCAGACAAGGTGTCACCATTCTTCTTTGCACCACGCGCTCCGTACATGCCCACGTGTGAAGAGAAAGTTTACCTGCTGCAGGAAAGGAAGGAATGCCCTACACTTGGGGTCACTCCCATTCGAAAAGTACAAAGCGACCGACTTCCCAACCAAGTGCTTCTCACTCACCACAGTGTTGTTGATATTTTTTAATGACCCTTCAGGAAAAAGTATCAGATCTGCAAGTTGGGGGGGGAGATAAAAATGGCAACATCCTGTATATTTCGGGGGGTGGACACGCCATACTGAGGCTTGGCACACACATGAGAGTAATTACGCACCAGCGTATATCTGTATGAACGCACAGGCGAGAGGACGAACTCTTTCTCACTTACCCATTTCGCGGTAGTCGATGGCCGCGCTCACGTTCTCCAACTTTGTGTTTTCAACATCCTCCGTGGTCCGCCTTTTCTCCGCCTGGTACGGGGAGTTGAAGTTTGTGCAGGCCATTTTGAAGACAGGAAAAATCAACAAATGTTAAGCAGATCGGAAAATGAAAAGACGCCTCCTCTAACTGCAGAAAGGATGAATCCAATAAGTTAATCTTGAGATAAGTGGCTTGAATTATTGGGGGGAAGGCTTCTCCCAGGGTATGTATATTATCGCATACGCAGAAAAAGAAAATAAGAAACCTTTTCTTTCTTCCTTCTGGATAAAAAATTTGATAAAATTGGGAAGTTTCTGGTATGAACAGTAGAGTGTCCTCAGGGATGGGTCCAGTCCTCAGGGAGAGTCTTCAAGTTGAGCAGGTTCTCCTTTGGGTAAAGTGTTCCGATATGTTGATGTAGTTTCTGCTTTAGTTTGGCGGAGGTTTGGCGCAGATTTGGTGTAAACTTGGTGCGTTCTTTGGCGTTAGCTATATGTACGTTTTGCAGTATAATGGTGTAAGCTTCATGGAAGGTTGGCGTAAAGTTGGGGTAGAGTTGACGTAAAGTTGGTGTAAACTTGGGTGATGTTGAAGTAAGTTTGGCGTAAGTTTGAAGTATGCTGCTACAAGTTTGGTGTAGGTTTGGTTGTACTTAAAAAAAATTTGGAAGTTTTTTAAAAGTTTTGTTAAAGTAGTTTTAAAATAATCTTAAAATAGTTTTTAAATTACTTTTAAATTTATTTTTTAATTTATTTTTTAATTTATTTTTTAATTTATTTTTTAATTTATTTTTTAATTATTTTTAAATTAGTTTTAAATTCATTTTTGAAAAATGCTTAGAAAGTATGTGCAAACTTTTTGCAAATTTTCGACTAGCTTTTCCTGATCCTTTTTTAAGTTTTTTTTTTTTTTCCCTCCCTGGCGCCTTCATGCATAAGCGGCTTGTTCTAACCTCCTGTAGTCTTTTCCTACAAAGTAGCCTCCTAAAACCGTTGCAGAATTTAACAGTTGTCTACACCTCTCCAGAAAAGACAACCCATTTCCGTCTTTTTTTTTTTTTTCAACTAGCCATTTTGATGTATTCATGGATTTACAGAAATTGCAAGCTAAAACACGTAAGGGCAGGCATTTTTGCAAATGTGAAAAAAAAAAATATGAACAGTGCATGTAAAATAGCTCTCCCTTATTCCCATAATTGGTGCATATCTGCATGCACTTTTTAAGCAATGCCGCAGGAGAGTTGACATGTCCAGGCGATTGCGGTCGTTTGGCGCGCGCTAAATAGCTAGCGATTAAAAGAGAAGCAGTTCGTGCATTCTTCTAGTAGTCGTTTGCATGACCAGACAAATAAAAGAAGGCTACCTGAATGCGCACATACGTGTGTACCATTTGGTGTGTACTAAATTTTTCCCTTTTTTTTTCCTTTTTACATGCACCTAACTGCAAACGTGCGGTTTCGCCGCGCAGGCATTAGGACGGTTCACGGTTGCGTCCTTTTGGGCCGCTTTAAAAATGGGGCCTCCCATTTTTGGCGCGAAAATAACGATAACGCTTGTGCGGAGGAAGCCAGATGGGTAAGCCAAGTGTGTAGCAAGTAACTAGCACGAGGTGGTGACACGTGGGGAAAGGCACTTTCCCTAAAGACCATTCGTGAATTGCCAGATGTGGGGATGCTTACTAAGGGTTAAGTGAGAAGAATGGTTGTTTCCCCTTGAAGTGTGCAACTTTACCCAAAGAGATCCTTGAGAAGCATTTTTTCCTTTATTCCTTCCACGCGCCCTTTTTATGGGAATAATTACGCTCTTTTAAAGGGGGTCCTGCTGCGCATTGCCTCCCCCCCACGAAGTTGGCAGCGACCCACGTATACCTCCTATCACCAGGTACAGAGAGCAACCTTTTCGCAGTTCCACAAAAGAAAAAAATGAGGTTTCAAAATATAAACACATTTGCGAAGGAAATAATTCTTTCTTGTGTTTGGCACGAACCTTCGAATTTAGCATTCACTCCTTTTGGGTGATTTTTTTGCTACACCGTTTGGCGAAAGGAAGAAAAAAGAAAAAAACTTTACCACGCATGAGGACATATGAGCACCCTCCTGTGGCTAAGACATCGCGCTGCTAATTTTGGGGAGGTTGCAAAATGGGCCAGGGGCATTTCCCTAATTTACACAGGCATGAACATAAGAAGTGGCTTCGCGCCAGGGCAATTAGGGCACACCTCTAACCAGGGTAACATTCCACGGGGGGCCAAAAAAATAAGACATAAGTGGGTGACCCAGCTACGAAAACGGAAAACATATCTCCTTAGGTGTATACACCTACAGCTGTGCACGTGTGTATAGTTTTCCTTAGTGCGTGCGCACCGCTCCGTGGGATAAAAAAAAAACACAAAAGGCAAAAAGCAGCATATAAAAATGGTGTTATATCAGGATGGCAAAGAAGCAGAAAAATATTTTTTCTTCCACCATGAAGGAACAGCAGAAGTGAAACTCCGAGTGTACAACTTGTCACATCACCATTTCACATTTCTTCAAACTGTGTTTGCGAAGGAGGCGAAGTTAACGACATCCACGCTGGTAGCAATTTGTACGAAGTAAAATTTTTCCTCCACACGCTGCTCCATTGTCCATCGTAATTGTTTTTTTTTTTTTTCTTTTCTTTCCTTTTAACAAAAAAATGTTAACCTTTGAACTATGAAAAAATCTGAATCATCAGCAAAGTTACCACGGAAAAGGTGGGAAAAAAAAAATAGAAAATTCCCTGTGTGTATATTTTTTTTTTTTTTCCTTTTTCTTAAACCGTTTTAGCAGAATTGTTCCACCACCCCAATTGTAATCACTTCAGTGGAGAAAAGAAAAAGGCACAAATCAGGACAATTACTTTGGCTGACCGTTACTATTCTCTGCTATGTTTCTTCTTCTGCTCTTCCCCCCTCTTAACTGTTTAGCGCCCAATTAGTTCGCAATATAGCAGCAAAGCGCATTCGTCCACATGCCCGCTTCGACTTAGTCCTAACAGTCCACTGCACACTGCGAATATAAATGAATATCTGGCTGCACACCTACACCCTAGACGTTCCCTTTTTTCTGAAAAATGTGCGTCACACGGGTGAGTCGCCAAGTCTGGGGCGTCATGGCAAGTCGCAATGTGTGTACCGCTGTAGCCAATATTGCATACACCTCGATTTACCTTCTTTACCCAATTTGCACCGATCACCCCCCCAGGAATCGAACTTTTCGGGAGCGAGTACACCTTCTCCATGGATGGAATCACCACCTGCAAGCCCAAAAAGTCCACCATCGGGCAATACTGCAAGAGCTACGAACTGACCTCTGTGGAAATAACGTATGCCCAGTTTAGCGAAATTTTAAATGCCCTCGGAAAGATATACAGACCCAATACGTATAACTTCGTGTGCAAAAATTGCAACCACTTCTGCGATGATTTGTTTGAGTTGCTCAGTGGAAAAAGATTGTTTCATACATTTATGATTTATTCTCGATTGGGAAAGTTGTTCGGAAATTTTAAGAACCTGACCATGTGTGGGTATATTGACTCTATGGAGCTTTCCTGCAATGATAAGGAGATGTACGTCTACGCGCTGAAGCTTTCGAAGTCGATAATACGGCGGAATAGAAACGTGCCCGTCGGGGTGGCGAGCAAATCGCAGAGCGGCTTACCGACTGGCTTACCTTCCGGCTTGACTGGGAATTTGACAAGCCCCCTGCCCAGCAGCTTCTGCAACAACTTGCCCCCCTCCCTGACGAGCGGCTTGCCTCCCCTCCATTTCAACAAACCAAGCGACGATTATTTCAACCGGTTTTGCAGCCCGTCCCCCGTATACATCATGCGGTACGCCTCCTACCCGAATGATACCTGCATGGGCCAAAACGCCTTCTACGGTCAGAGTAGCTTTAACGGCCAGAATAGCTTTAGCGGCCCCATGGACAGCCTTCCTGATGAGGCGCAGAAGGGGTTTCTCCCAAAGGGCCAATTCAGAACTATTTATTCGATTAGCACGAATGACAGCTTTTCAATGGCATGATGGTGGAAGCTATATAATTACAAGAATCGTGCGAATTTTCCGAAGGTATGACACACTCCTCCGTAGGGACACCCCCCCAATGGGGATAACCGCTGGCGCGCCTTTATCTTGGCCACTTTCACCTTGGCTCCTTTTCCTCCCTGAGGCCAAATTAAAACATGCGCCGTGTAAGACAAAATCTTCCTTTTTTTTTTTTTTTTTTTTTTTTTAATTCAACATTTTAACACATAAACAGTGCACATCACGTAAGACAGTTTTCGCTTCCACACGATCCACATAGCGCTTGGAAGAACATACTTCTCCTCCTTTGAAGTCGCAGAAGTTACCCTCCCTCCTTCGCTTTACAAGGCTGACTTAAAAATAGGGGATCTTTAAAAATAGCGCATCACCTGGCATGAACACATATAGACATATGTACCCAACTAAGTCGATATTCACGCATACAAAAACAGGCCTACCTATGGAGATGCACACACACGTAACGTGTGCTGGTAGGTGGGTGAGTCAACGTGGACGTCACACAGTTGATATAACGCTGTAGGGGGTACGCGGTGTGCACATACGTGGGTGCGAACACATGAGCTATTTAAAAAAAATAAATAAATAAAATATACACATATAGTTTATATACGTATGCAAGGGACCACTTTGGATTATCACTAAAAGGCCAAAGTGCTCCATTTATGTGCGCGTAGCATTCACAAGGGGTACAAATAGGGGGTTATTTGTTAGGTGGTCACTTGATTGTTTTTTTTTTTTGGTTGTCTTTTCTGTTTTTTCCTCCTCCTTCTGCTTCAAATTTTCACGCCTGCTTAATTTATCCTACATGAAAAAAGACACCGCACAAATGTGGCTTCTTTGGAATTCCTCTAAGGGGGTTCCACTTGTTCGTTTTGTAGACTCCGATGGATATGCGTCCTCACCTCGTTAAATTTTTGGCTGACTTCCAGGGTGGCGCGGCAAAGTTGCGAAGTGGACACCACCGACGGTTGGCCAGCGGCACGCTAACAATACGGGAATGATTCACTAACGGTTTGCTAACGACTTATTAACGATTTATTAACGGTTTTGCTTTCGGATCCCCACTTCTACCACTTCTGCTCCTACTACTGGTAGCACAGTGACCTGCGCTCACTTCGAGGTGAACCAGATGTACACGAATATAATGCCGAAGATCATCTGGAGGGAGAAGAATTCGAACCAGGACTTCTTCTGGTTCTTCTTGTCCTTGGTGTTCTTATTCTTCATCAGTTCAAAGCACTTTTCAAGTAGGCCCATTTGATGCGAATCGAGGGTTAAGGCAAATTCCTTCACATTTTGGCGCAGCTGATCGTCTTTATTATTTTGGTCCTTGGGGTCTTTTTTACCATCTTCCAAGCATTCCCTTTCGTCCTTTTGTCCCTCGTCTTTTATCTTTGCCTGCGCATATTTCTCATCTTCTACAGCTTTCCTCATTTCCTGTAACTTGGAAACCAGTTGTTCTCCATTTTTCTTTAAATAGTTAGTCGACTCGATGACGTCATTTGATCTTTCGAAAACGATTCTGTTGGTAGCCAAAATGGATCGCATTAAATAAATCAACGTAGCATTTCTGTCTGTGTATGTGTACGCTGAGGAACATATGCTAATAAAAAAAACGATGGGGAATAACATCCTAAGTAATTTTATCTTCTCATATGGAAGGAGATATCCTATCGAGGGTAGCCAGTCGAAAGTCGTGTCGTCTTCGATAAATCGGAACTGCAGCTCGAAGCAGAAGCTAGCTATGTTGTACACCAGAAATATCTTCAAAAAAAGAAGAAAAAGAAGAAATTATACGCCCACCTATGTAGAAGCAAGCACGGAAATGTCCCCACTCGATACATGCAATCGTTTGGTGGAGAATTACAACCCATGTGTGTTTCCCACAGAATGACAGCAAACTCACTTGTCTTGCAAACATCAGTTTGCGTGGGTACGATAAAAAATATCCTATGATGAAAAACATTGTGTGTTGGACCAACGAAAGGCATATCAGCAGTGTGGCCGTATTGTCGTCAACTTCACCTGAAGGGAAGAAGTAAAAGAGGAAAAGTTATGCACACACGGCAAAGAGAGAAAAAAAAAAAAAAAAAAAAAAGCTAGCCGAACGGTAAATGCATGTCTGATCTGTTACACACACGACTGATGGCTAAACACATCGCCCTGCCGACGTTACCATTCTTGTAGTCCCCGAAGCGGTTGTAGTTGCTTCTCCTAGTGTCGTCAGTCAGGATGTCGTATGCCTGTTTTAACTTTATAAATGAGGAGTCGGCCGACTCGTCCGGGTTTTTGTCCTGCAAACGGGGGGCGCAGAGGAGTTGAAGTGGGAATAAAGCGGTGTGAAAGTCAGTGACATGGGAAAGAAAAATACTCGAGTGAACGCAGATGAGCACGTGGGCACCTCGTCTTAATGACGCCCTTGGCCCACTCCCTCTCCCCATTCGCTCGTCCTTTGGACGTAGCAGCCATCCTTACGGGGTGATATATTTTCGCCGCCTGCCTGTAGGCGGTCTGTATTTCCTGCTTCGTTGCATTGGGCCTGATGTTCAAGTAGGTGTAGTAATTATCCCTCTTCCAGGGTATTCCCTTGTATAGCAAAAAGGACAAAATTAAGACGTAGATGGCATATCCTGAAAAAAAAAAAAAAAAATACACACGTGTACATATGCAAATGTATCGTCCTACACCGCCCACATTTCGGACGAGAAGGGATAAAATAAACACACCTCCAACACGGTGCCCGATTATTTGCACACGTATTGTAACGGAAAAGAAGAAAAAAGAGAATGCGGGAAGGGGAGAACTGAATCTCCCTCTCCCTCCTTTTTTCCAACGCCCAGCAGAGATAGGGACTCTGGACAATTGCGCAACCCTCTAGAGTAGCGACGCATGATGTCTCCTCGTGCTTACTGAACTTTTGAAGAATTTTTATTTTATCGCTGTTAACTATTGTGACTCCAAAAGAAGCAATAATAACTTGAAATATAATATCGTTTAGCATTTCTAAAATGAATTTTCTGTTTTCTTTCACTCGATTTGGTGGGGGTTCCAAGTTTTATCTTATTCGGCAGTAGCTACTTGGGGTTTGGTCCCTGCTGATCCTTATTCTCTTTTCCGCTTCTTCCGTTTTTCCCCTTTCCGCGTCGGGCACCTTTCTTCAGTGGAGAAGGAGGTGATCTTTGCTCGTTCTCGAATTGAATAAATGAGGACTTAGTGTTGGAAGAATCTGGTGGTCATTATTCGAATTTACAAGGAGGGGGGAAGGAAAAACTCCGCATCGTTGAGCAGGAAAAGTCAAGGGGGGCACGGACAGCTGCAGCTCCGCAGAGTGTTCATACGAACGTACGCACATACAAAGAGAGAGGAAAAAAGGCATATATCGCCAACTGGCGTATCGCAAAAAGTCGTGTGATAAAGAAGCGTGTGGCTTATGACATAATCGCGCAATTGCTTGTTCATTTATATAGCCGTATTCATCAATCGTTGCCGTGAATTGGTGCGTGCAGGTTGTTTGTGCAGGGTTTTCCGATTTTTTACGTTGGTTGGCGCGTTTTTTCCTTGTCGGCTGGCTGTTTCCTGGTTCGCTGGCTATTTCCCGTTTGGCTCATTTCACTGTTTTCCGGTTGGTGGTTTATTCCCTGGGTGGCGAGAATGTGCATTTTGCTCTTCCTTTGTCAAATGCGTCATTTGACTTTCGGTGTAACGATATGGGGCACAAGAGGAACTTTTTTCTTCTTTTTTTTAAAAAAAAAAAAATAAAACCGGAGGGAAAAGAAGTGGGGTTCGCCCTGGTGGCATATGGATAATGCAACAATATGGGAAGCATACGCGAGTGACTTTTTTTTTTTTTTACCAGCATTAGGGAGTTAACAGTTGGTGAATAAAACCCATTTGGGGAAAAACTCTGCGATGTTTACAAAATTTGCCGATGTGCCAAGGGAAAAGCAAACACATCACCCACGGGAGCCATGCGAAGTGAGTATTGTAATAACATATACATACGTGTATGCATACGCTTAGGTATGTCACATGCGTAAGGCGTGAAAGAGATGACGGCCAAATGGGAACCCCGCGTGGAAGTTTAAAACTGGATAAGAGCCATATTCCGACCGTTCGCATGAATAAAAAAGAGGTGTAAAAAAAAGAGAAAAAATAAAGATATACATATATATATGTGAACACACGCATGCCTAGGGGGGGTACTCGCGTAGCCAGGCATTTCCAAGTCCTCGCGGTAGCAGCCACGCGTAAACACAGTGACGAACGGGCTGCTTTTAAAAACGTGTTCATCGTTTCCGCCGAGGCCTCCTTCCCTAGCACACCCTTCAGCTACACCCCTGATTTGTTTTCTCACCGAACTGTTTTTGTCCACTTAGTACACAAAGTATTTATTCCCCCCCTTTCCCCTTCTTTATGTCACAAATTTTGACTTCTCCAATGTTGAAATAATGAACCCCTTGTGTGAAAAGAAAAAAAAAGAAAAGATACCCTCTTTTGAAATCGAAGTGGAAGGGGGGGCTTCCGTCGTTTGTGTACCCACGAGGGAGAATGACCGTAAGGCGACGCCCGAATTAATGGAATGGCGAATTCCTTCCCTAGCGGGGGGGACTCTGCTGGGGAGCCTCGCCACAAAATGGACCCTACAATGATTTATCCCCCCGTGGCAACAACCAAGCAACCACGAATTATGTGGACATTCCGTTCTGAGATAAATCACGTCACACAAATTAGTGAAGAGTTTGAAAGAAAAAAAAAAAAAGGCCAATTTTTGTTTTTTTCCTAAACTGCTTTGGATATACGCAGGGGAGAAGTCCATTTTGTTTTGCCGGCGTGGAAAGCGCCGAGCCGAAGTCGTGTGCGCATTAAAAGGGGATTGCTCGCTAAATATACAAAAATGTGTGTGGCTTTATGGGCAAAGGAAAGAAAAAAAGGCCTCTCTTTGGATGTATCCCCCACGGGTAGAAATGCGTTCCCTCAAAAAATAAAAAATCGCAAAGGTGAAAAGGAGCAAAACAGCAAAACTGCAATATCGGGAAAGGGGAAAATATATTCCCCCCTGTCCAGCATGCACTTCCCAAGCGAGCTGTTCCAAAAAGGGGAACCCACACAGACATACACAAAACCCATCGTAGCGCCGTAAGAAATGCACATAAAAGTTAATCCCATTTACACAAACTGCGAAGCAAAGTGATTTCTTCGGACTCACCATCTTCCCACGTCGCTTTTCCTGATGGCGAGACGCCACAGGACCGAAGTTATCTCATCAATTTTTCTTTCCATTTTTTTTCCTCAAAAAGGTTAGCTATCTCCGTTTGTACACGTGGGGCACATTCCATGGAGAAGAAGTAACGAGGATGCAATTATAAAAAAAAAAATAATAAAAAGAAAATAAAAACATTTATATATTTAGACATTTACACACTACTCTTTCGCATTTTCCCATACATATGTAGCTTCTACATTCTTCTCATTCGTTTTCTTGTTTTTTTTTTCCCACCCATTCTGCAAACATAATTTGTTCCCCCTTTTGGGTTAAAAGAAAATATCATTCCAAAGAGGAAAGCATTTTAGCATTTTAAGAAAGCAGACACGTACTTTGTGTATTCATGCACAAATCCGCATGTATGTCCACATACGTCTAAAACGCTGGAAAAAAAAAGTCATGTCAAGCACCTTCTCCACGCGCAACACGTGTATCCTTATGTGAGTGAATATACATAAGAATACGCAGATGTACATATGCATACATGTGTAGCTTTTTTTTTTTTTCTTTTCTTTTTTGTCCATCTCGCACCCACGGAATTGACACACCAAGTGCGCCTTCGCAATCTTGTTTTTACATACATTGAAAGAAAGAAAAAAGAAGGAAAAACACCGGAAGGTGGAAAAGGTACCACTCACCCCCTTCTGTTTACACTCCATCAGTATAGAAGCAACACGTAAGGAAGGAAAAAACCGAAGGAGAAGTATTCCGATCCGTACGCAACAACCAGGTAATGAGCAAGCGACGCTCAGACACGATGACGTTTCGTCTGAACCCCTTTTCCGTGTTGTCCCAATATACATTCCCATTTTTTTTCAACCCTTGAAGTGACCAGCTTGAGCAAACTCTATCGAACTGGTAGGGTCAATGTTGAAGCGGCATCTTGACTCGCATACCCCCACGAGTGTATGCCGTCCTCGCTGCCCAGACATGTTGTCCCCCATTTTGTGCACTACAAAAATGCTTCCGTGTTGTGACTTTTGCCCCATTATGACCCCTCTTGAGAGAATAGCACATCACGAACGAGCTAAAGGAAACCACCTTTTGGGTCTCTTCCCTCGTAAGGTGCGATGAAGTTATCCTTGAAGTGTACTTCGTGGCAGTAACCCCAACGCCGTAGCCATCATATGAATGTCTTTCGCTTTGCAAAAAAGTTTGCGCAAAATGAGAAAAGATCATTTAGGACTGCTACGTAGTGGTTATTTACTCAGTGCGCACGCGGAAGGCAACCCCCGTTCGCCATTATGTATTCTATTCATGTCACATAAAGGAAAAAAAAAAGAAAAACAAAAAAAGAGAGAGTTAGTGGGGAGTACCTTCAATATTTATGTATATACATAGTGAGATATGCTTCTCGCCAAATGTTAAAGTGAGTTTCTCCTCATCGGGTGGGGTGAATGGAAGGCAGGCATAGTGCGATGACTTGTACCCCACCAATAAACACGCCGGTTTCATGCGTACATAAATATATATACCCAATTTGGTGAGAATAAATCGATGAGAACGTTTCACCAGGGCGGTCGCGACGTAGTTGTTGGCCCACGGAGGGAAAAACAAGTTCATCTTGCGTATGCATAAGATTAAATCCCGTTTATGCTTCCATACATTTAGTCCCATTTTCTCCTACATATGCCGCGGTTTGCCTTAGCGGGCACAACGAATTCTTTCCTGTTGAGCGACCTTCCCGTCCCCCGAACCCGATCCGACAGTGCCTGCAGCGCCGAAGCGACATGAGCGGGGTTTCATTTTAAGCCCTGCTATACCAATGTGGTATCCTTCATGCGTACATATTATATATGCAAATGTATATCTACGCATATATTATATGTATACTTGTAGGGATATATACAATACATGTATGTATGCATATACATTTGTATATAAATGTATCTATGCGTATATATTTTTATATACATCTATGCATACCAATACATATATATTTTTATATATGCGCATCCTTGTAAAGCACGTCGTTATACGCATGCCCAGTGGAATCTTTTTTTTGTTTCTGTTTTTTTTTTTTTTTTTTTTTTTTTTTTTTTTTTTTTTTTTTTTTTTTTTTTTTTTTTTTTTTTTTTTTTTTTTTTTTTTTTTTTTTTGCCTACCCCCGCAGGTAAAAATATATGAAAAACCATTTATTTTGTTTTGTCACTTCATAAGCTGCAAAATATGAACGTTAATTTTCGCACCGTGTTGTAGCTTGATACTTCTCCCCATTTGCTTCTTTACTCTGTTTTTTTCTTTTTTTTTCTCTCTATCTAATAATCGTTACGGCAAAGCGAAAGGCGCGTTCCCCTCTCCCTAGTGACGCTGTGTTTCACATTTAAGCGATCATCGCGATATTCCATTCCATTTGATGCGTATGAATATTTCTCTGCATCAACCCCCGTGTAAGATTATAGGTACTTATACGTACATTCATATGCAACAATATTTACACGCAGTTATAGGTAGATTTTTTCACCCCTAGAAGCACACGTTACATAGATAAGGGAAAAATGAAGAGAGACCGCTCCGAAACAACAGCTGAAATTACAACTGACTCTAAGCACACGTAAGTTTGGCCCATATACTCCTGCTTTGCGCGGGTCATATGTCCCGTGTTTGGGGCACCCTCCCCCTATGAGAGGCACAATTGGTGCGTCGCGTTACCAAGCGTTTCTATGCTCCTATACGGCCCATATGTGGAGTGAGGCCCCACTGGGATGCATTTTCTTTTGGGGGGGACTATACCAATTTGGGTGAAGGTGGCCGTTGCGAAGGGGATAGTTTACGGAAAAACGCAGATCATCGCGCTCGCCGTTAGCGCCAGACAGATGTGCGGGAAGCACGTGTGGGTGGAGAAGCGCAGAGGATGAGACGCACCGAGGATGAAATGTCATGGAGGAGTGACGCATCGCTCCGCACGTGCTCGTCCACCCATTACATTGCGCTTGAGTGACCATAGAGTGATCACCCCCACTGTTGCAAAAGTTGATGTGACCCATTTTATCCCCTCCCCCACCCCTCCTCTGTGCAGAAAAATGGACAACGATGAACCCTTGATGCCGTTCATGAAAGATTTCGAAGAAAGTAAGGACTTTTTTTTTCTCTCCCCCATGAGGGGCGTATTTTTCGCGGTGGCGCTGCGTAAGCGCATTCCCTGAGTGAGTCGTTTCCACAGTAGTACATCGCTTGACTTCCCCCCTCCCCAAATGCAGTCCAGAAAGGCATCGAACAACTCGACATCAAATGTGCGCACGAACAGATGAACATCCAGAAGCAATATGACGTGAAGAAGAAGCCTTTGTTCGAAAAGCGAGAAGAAATAATCGAGAAAGTCCCCCGCTTCTGGGCCAACACATTGAGGAAGCACCCTGCACTAAGCGACATAGTGCCCGAAGATATTGAAATTCTGAACTGCCTAGTCAAATTAGATTTAAAAGATAACATGGACAATAACGGCTCATATAAAATTACCTTCACCTTTAATGAAAAGGCAAAGGAATATATGGAGCCTCTAATTTTGGTAAAACATGTCACCTTTGATAACAATCAGGAGAAAGTCGTTGAGTGCACCCGAATCAAATGGAAAGATGGAAAGAATCCCATAGAATATGTGTGTAATAATAGATGTGACTTAGATAACGAAATGCCAAAGTGGTCATTCTTCGAATGGTTCACCACAGAGGAGTTACAAGATAAGCCTGATGTAGGTGAATTGATACGAAGAGAAATCTGGCATAATCCTTTGGCTTATTATCTTGGGCTAGATGATTTTGACGATTTCGAGGAAGACTTTGATGAAGAGTTTGATGATGACGATGATGATGACGATGATGATGAGGATGATGAAGATGATGAAGATGAGGAGGATGAAGATGAGGAGGACGATAAGGACGACGATGATGAGAAGGATGATGACGATATGGATGGAGATGACGACGGGAAGGACGACGAGAATGATGACTAAGGGGTTGTTCTTGTTTCTGCTGCGCCTGCCGCTTCTTCTGCCGCTGCCGTTGCGATTCCAGCCGCCGCTGCTCTTGCCGCTGCTGCTCCTGTTGGCTGTACCCCCCTAGGTCGTGTCTCGTACGACCATCCGAATGCGCGCAGTACCTATCCAAGTCATGAAGGCGCACTCTTTTTTCCCTCTTCCATTCCTGACGGGTGCCTCTTACGTAGGCCCCTTTTTTTCGCATCTGCAATTTTTTACCACCTTTTTTTATCGAATTTCTACCATTTACGAAATTCACACCCATGTCACTTCGTTTTTTATGGAAACAAAAATTAACAAAAAAAAAAAAAACGTTGATTTTGAGGAGAATCAGCCCAGTGGGGAAAAGAAGTGGTGCATCGGGGGGGGGGTAAAAATAAACGCGACCACGCCGCTATACTTATATGCCCATTCCCACCCCTAAGCGCTCAGTTGGTAGAGCTTCTTCCCAAACTCCAGGGTGTTGTTATCCATGGACTCCTCGTAGTTGGTGCGCCGCGTACCGGTGTAGTAATCCTGGTCGTCCTTAATGGCCTCGCTGAGCAGCAGGTACTGTGTGTAGTCCTCCCCGGAGATGAACTTATAAGCCAAGCTCTTCACATACTGGCTTTCGTTAATTTGACGCAAATCACTTTTGATTCTTTCTTTGTAAGGGTCCACAAACACGCCCAGAAGTTCCTGCGGGATGATCAGCCCCTTCCCTATATCTGCTATGAGCTTGCAAATGTCGTAATTAATCCTGCTATTGATATAGGAATCCTTTTCGTACGCTGGGTGATTCAAAATGAAGTTTCTCAGGTATGCAGCACCGGTGCAGATTTTTCCAGCACATCTCTGCTTCACAAATTCGATGTATTCGTCTATTTTGTTCTTGGCTGCATGGGAGAGTAGCCCCTCTCTGAACTGCTCCTCAATGTACTTGGAGCAGAGAAAGAAAATACCATTGTGGTGGTTAAAAAAAATATCGTATAGGGTCTTTTCCTCCACTTGATTATCCTCCGTGTCATAAGTTAGATCCCTCCTGAAGTAGAATTTCTCCTTAAATATGGAATCTCTCTTTGCGGAACGGAAAAGATTTTCCTCCAGCATAGACATCGGAATGTACAGATTTAGCTTCTCCTTTAGGATAAATTTGGACAATACCATGATGAGCGTAACGACTGATGCGTTTTCAAAGTCAGTGATCTGAATATCTGGAGTGCGAAATTCTACTCTCCATCCTATGGAACTTGGCCCATTGCAGTGGCTGCTCAGAATGGGTGGGGGCTTAAACCGCACGCTGTTCCAGTTGGTGCTTTGGAAATTTTCGAAGTGTTGATGGGAGGATAACACAGTCTCTTCGTAGTCCTCCAAAAAGGTGAAGTCGTCCCTCAGGTAGACGCGGTTCATGGGGTTGGGGTTCTTCATGGGTTTCTGTTCTTGCCTACTGCCGCAATCGGGGGCGGAATCTCTTCTGGGGAAGGAATCCCTGCTCGGGGAAGAAGACTCCTCCAGTCCCATTTCTGAAGCCAACTCGCCCATGCCCCCCTCTACTGCCATTTTTGAAGCCGACTCGCCGATTCCCCCCTCAATGGACTGTATATCCTTTTCACTGTACGATCCTTCAAAAACCACGATGGGGTCCCTAACGAAGAGAGAGGCAACATGTCTGGCTAAAAAATCATCCACATTTTCTTTTACCAGTTTATCATACACATTCTTATCCAACACGACATCTATGTCGTTATAAAAATGGTAGTTCTTCCTGAGTGGCAACTCATTAGAAATGTACAAAGATATGCCTGAATATCTTGGCTTCGAAATGTAGGCTAATTCCTCCTCCGTTCTGCAGTCAACACTATTTGATATGACTCTCCACCGGGTATCCGTCTCTGTGAGAAATCCTCCTAAATAAGGGGTTGATGCCGTTAGGGCTAAAAACAACGGGGCGATCACAGCTAGCTGGTCATATAAATACTTCGCGTCATCTATTGTTGGAAAGGACATGGTCACTTGCTGACAACACATGCTCATTCCGAAGAACATTGCATCTAGGTAGACATAATTCTTAATTGGATTCTTGCACTTCTCCGAGTACTCCTGGATAAACTTCCGATCATACACATAGATGTGGTCCTTCTCGTCGTCCAGATTGCTGAACAGACTATTTTTTATCACTTCGTCGATTATGTTGGTCCGCGTGATGAGAGCGTCCTCCGAGCAAGGATCCTCTTCCGCTTCTATCGCTGCTGGCCAAGTGGCTTCTGCTCCACTTGGATGAAAATCCGAGCGGACGGGTTCTACTCTCTTCTTCCTCGTCATAGACTTGTTCCAAATCAGGTGCTCATCCAGGACGTACCTTTTCTTTATTTTCTTGAAAAGTCTCCTGTCTGTTTTGTCCAGCGAGTGTTCCCATCTGGGCATCTTCTCTGTGTTCTCATCTTTGTATATCTCATTAAATGAAATGATTTTCGTCCCCCTTCTTTTCCTTATGTTCTTAGTTAGAGTGACGTACCTGGCGTGTGGACTAATCACCATGTCGGTGATAAGGCAGCTGTTGCTGTAGTTCTTTGTCTGTTCCGGTTTGAATAGGTCGCATTCGAAGAGGAGGTTTTCCTTCGCCTCGTTGATGAAGATGGGTTGATTCGCCGGGGTCGCCTGCTTGGTTTGTTTTGATTCATTGGATTGGTTCCCTTGGTCAGGCTGCTCCTCCTGGTCCGCGTCCGCCACTTCCTCCCCGCACATTTCCTGCATTGACGAGTCGTCATTCTTTTGGGCAATCACATCGGAGTTGACAAACTGGGTAGACTTACCCTCGTCCGCATACGTCTGCGTGCTATCGTTGAGGGTGATTTTGTATTCTCCCTGCGTGATGGTTTGCCTGACCACCTCGCCCTGTTTGACCATCTCGTCCCCCCTTTCCGCTTCTTTTACATTCACATGTTCCCTTCGTGGCGTCTCCAACGTGTCTCCAGCTGAACCGACCCCTTTCCCCCTGTCACCCTTCCTCTTGCCCGTTTCTTGGGTGATCCTTCTCGCCATAAGTAGGCTATTCTCTAGGAGAGCGTTTGGGAAGCATGGTAAAGTGATCGCGCGCACTCCCGTAATGGCACTGAGGACATTGTTAAGTTTTATTCTCCTTATGCGCATGCAATCTTCAACAAAGGGTGACGAATTTATATCAAATTTGAAGGGAACGGAAGGTGTGCCCTCAATGGTGAAGGAGGAATATTCTGGAGTCCAATGAGATCCATACTGACAATAGGTGACACTTTCTAAGTTCATCATTTCATCAATCAAATCTGTTGCACATAAGAGAGCAGAAGATTCTTTTAAATTTTCATCATTGCGAATAACGATGTATTCTATTTCGTCCCCAAACATGATGTTCTCGTCCACTCGGTCTTTGTTGCATTTGTACGTATGAACAAACTGTAGTATGCCATATAACCTTATTAGAGATTTTACTTTTTGCACTTCCTCCCAACTTAATGGAGTTCCAATTTTGAGGAATCCCATTTTGTTTCCTTGTTTTTTTTAAAAAGTTCCGTTTCGATAAGGAGTCAGTTTTTACGTATACCACAACTTCGTCGATCGGGTTTTACTTTCTTTTTGTGCATGGAGTGATAGGTCCACAAAATTTGCTTTCCCGCTTTGGTGTGGGTTTTTTCCACCTTGCCACTGGGGCGGGTTCAGTTTGCGTATTCCTATACTTTTGTGCTTCTCTATCGTTGTGCTCCTCAATCTTTGTGTTCTCTATTTTTGTTCTTCTCTATTTTTATGTTTTATTTTATGGTATATATATTTTTTTTTCCTTTGTTATCAGGGCGCGTGCACCTCTCAAAATGGTCCTACTTTTTATTCCTTTTTTTTTGGTAGCCATGGGGCGAGTGCTCTGTTGGCAGCTCTTTTTATCGATTTGATCGTGGTCCTTTTTTTAAGCTATTCCGCAGCCCATCGCGCCTTTGTGGAGATTCTTTTCAGCAGCGATGGAACGAACTCACAAGAAAATTCGAAATAAACGCCGCCAGAAATAACTTCTTCAAAAAAAAAAAAAAAAAAAAAAAAAAAAAAAAAAAGCTATATAGCCAAACAGCTCATTGCTTCCTTACTGCGACTACACAGCATTTTTTGTTGACGTCGATTTGTTAATACACAGATACCATGCGGAAAAATTATTTTTTTTGCGGGGGATCGTAAAACAACTAGGACTATTATCAGGGGTCTGCGCGTTTGTCCTCGCGGAACAGTGTATAACAGCGTGTAAATCTCACGCAGGTAGCCACGTACACGCGTGCATGTGTATGTCCATATGTACACGTGGTCCCTCTGTCGTATGCATGCATGTACACGTAGACTCTTTTTTTTTATTCGCGGTTTGGCCCTTATTAACTTCGCGTTCACGTTTGTGTTTGTTTTTCTTCCCTTGGGATTAAGCGGGCGAGAAAAAGTAGCTCGCTGGACTGGTAAACAAAACGATGCGCATTTTTCCCCTATGTCGAAACTGCGGGAGAGGTACACAGGTATGCTGCAATCCTTGGAGGCCTCCGCGTTTAAAAAAACCAACACTAGAGGGTATATGCAAGAAGAATATCCAAACTGAATATGCAAAAAGAATGAAAAGAACTGACTGGCGCTTTTTATAAACGTTGGAACCCAAGAAAATTGGTTCCGCGCGTTTTCTTCTTTCTTCTTAAGTTGAGAAAGAAACACCAAACTTTTCTTATAGGCGTTTTAGAACAGAAAAAAAAAAAAAAAAGGTTACTTCGTTGATTCATGCTACGACATTTAAATGCGCGTCAAAACCGCAGCATGGCTTGTAGACCCTCTATGTGTTTAGAAGCGACTGACGTTTCTCGACTATCTTTTCTATCAATGAAGGCATAAAATCGTATGTTTGAAAACATAAAAAAAATAAAAAAACACGCAAAAAAAATCCTTCCCAAGTATGTATGTATATATATGGTTATATACATTTACGTACTTAAATGCGCGTTACAGCTGAACGAAAAAAAGATGAACGCGATAAATTAAAGAAAAAAGGCATAGTTGATCGTCTGTTATTTAAAGGTTAAAAAAAAAAAAAACAAAAAAGATAATAATAAAGATAAGGATAAAGGATAGGTTAATGTTACATTTTTCTTTCATCAAAAAAACTACTCAGTCGAAAAAGCCATTTCTTGTCAAATAATTCTTGAACGCTTAAAATGCAGAATATTGACCATCCTAGCACTCCTTTTTATTTTTACGAAGCTGTTCTGACCCAATATTTTAATACGAACCAGGTATATATGTTATTCTACATATATACATATAGGTATACCTTTGCATAAAGAGGCTTGCATATGTGCCCCCAAGTCTCCTCATCATTCTGTATACTTGGCCGGACGAAGCAGAAAAATATTCAACTGACAGAATTAGCGCATAGGAGAAAGCATGAAAAGGAAAGATGGCCATTCGTTTGAACGCCGTCCTGGCGAAGCTTCAGATGCACTTTTTACCTACCACAAACAGTTTAAAAAAAAAAAAAAAACATATCAAAGAATCGAACAAAATGCAGTGTAGTTTTTTTTTTTCCCTTTTTTTTCTCCTTTTGGAAGTGGCAAAAGAAAGATATTGGTGAAGAAGAGCTTAAAAAATGAGCCACATGTGATGCTTATTCAATTTACTTCATGTGAAGCATACCTCTTTAACGTTAAAGGAGTTCCATATTAAAATTAAGGTATAAAAAAACAATGTTTCGCGTTGTCAAAACACTCCCATTTGCCGCTCATTGCACTTATTTGAGTTGATGTATAAGGACACTACATGTAGGTAGATTCAGTGAATAAAAAGAAAAAACACTTAATACCTTGCCTTTTAAAAACTGCCATATGGACAAATGATGACCGAACGGTGTGAAAATTTAAAAACGTTGGTTTCACATTTTTTGGGCTCACGCGGTATGTTTAAATGCTACCCCAAGAACAATTATGGCCCATGCCAAATCCATGAGTGATTGTAGTAGCGACGTAACCGCACTGTGATGTGCTTACCAGGTTGGTTTACAAAAAAGGTACAGAAGTTTTATACGTCAAGAGAACGTGTATTGTGTAAATAATTTCTATGTATTGTAAAACTTTGGGGAGGCCCCGTGCGTGCTTCGTTCTTTAATGTATAGTCATTTATTATAATCCAATTTGTTGTTCCCTTTTGGCTCATCGTTGGAAGTTGCCTCATCGGTCGCTTCACACCACGTTATGTATTTTGTTTTTTGTCCAATTGGACCCTTCCCCCCCCTAACGGGGTCACATTAATGCGCAGAGCTTAGCTACGCGGTTGAGAAGGTATGAATACTCGCAGAAGAGGTCCTCCCATTGAAGCGCTCAACAAGTGGGCTCTACCACCCGAACATACTGACATGCATTACTTCCTAGAACGAATTCTCCTCTTTGCAGAAGGCACGTGCCAACGTTGAACGGTGACATACGCGCGCTCAAGGAGTTTGTGCTGAATGCAGCACATTTCCGCGGGAGTGTGCAAACATGTCCTTATTAAGGCTCGTGGAAGGGGGGTAAGCAAAAGGGAACACCCACAACGGCGAAGATTAACACATATGTATATGCATACATGTATGGACTTTGCGGGTTTATGACATGAATTATAAGGTGTAGGCGGACGGGTACTAAAATTCCTAATCGGGACGTTCACCTCAAGATGTATCTTCCACAACGATGGTTCTAATGCCATTTGAGATAACATAGAAACGAGGAAAAGCGGCACCCACACAATGGCCCAACCGATATGTTTGTCACATTCAATAAAAAAAGAGGCAACCTTTTGCGTATCTTAAGTTCATACAAAAGAAAAAGATGTATATCTCGCCTTTCAGTAGAAACTATTCCATTAAATGTGAAAGAAAAAAACACAATGGCCCTTCCTTTTAAAACAGTCTTCTTTTTATTTCCCCGGGAGGAACAGTTTAGTATGTCGCTTAAAATAGCTAATTTTTTTTTTTTTTTTTTTTCCTGTTCATATTTTTTTCGTAAATATTCTGAACTAGCCAAAATAGAAGTAAAAAAAAGAAAAAGAAAAAAATTGACAAAATGATTGAAGCAAAAATGAAGAGCAGGTGAATTGCGCGAAATGGCACTTTTTGCCCGCTTGCTTTTGCCGACTTGGTTCTACGCTTGGCCGGCCATTTGATTGCTAAAATGGTTGCCACTGTTGCTGCCAATTTTGTTTCCAATTTTGTTTCCAGTCTGATCGATTATCCTGTCGCCTATGTGGTCACTTATTCGGCCACCTATTCGGCTGCCCATTCTTTTCCGTTCTTTTGACGATCACGTTGCTGCTACCGCCGCGGCAGCCCCCCGCTGAACGGTAAATGCGAGTTGCGCTCCTCAAAGGTCTCACCGCTTGCCTATACCTCACGCGGACCCCAAACCATGAGAAGCCAAAGCTGAACACGCAAAGAAGGCATCCTCTCGTTGAGGCATACTACGTAGATGATGACCACAACGAGGCGAATTTATATAAACATGGGAAGGAAAAATCATGGCATGGTGGAAAAGCTAAGAGGAGCCTTTACGTTTACTGCTTTAGCAAGAAGTCCATTCGTCGTCACCAGAAGGTATTAAAACGAAGCCGGAGAACTATGACCAGCATGTCAGTAGTAACAGAAAGGAACGTGGAGGAGGGCATACACCTGTGCGGTGAGGAAAAGTTCAAATTAGAAGATATATCCACCTGTCTTAGCGAAATTTTTGAAAAAAAAAAATGTGAAAATATTCCATTTATACAAGTTGCCCCCATGATAAATGTCACCAATAGACACTTCCGGGCGTTAGTAAGGACCATCACAAGAAGGGCCCAATTGTGGACTGAGATGATTGTTGACAATACTTTGCTGTACAATCTGAACAATTTAGAAGAGCACCTAGGTTTTAACTCCAATGAGCACCCAGTCGTTTGCCAGTTGGGTGGATCTGATGCCACTTCCCTCGCGGAAGCAGCTGTGCTAGTGGAACAGGCGGGTTACGATGAAATAAATTTGAATGTAGGGTGTCCAAGTACCAAGGTAGCTAATAAGGGAGCCTTTGGAGCATACTTGATGAAAAAACCGGAGCATGTACGAAGTATAGTATACGAGATTAAGAGAAAAGTCCACATTCCTGTATCTGTAAAAATTAGAACAGGGGTTGATGATTGTGATTCTTTCCCCTTTCTAAGATCCTTTGTCGAATGTGTCTCCTCAGTAGGATGCACTAATTTTATTGTACACGCAAGAAAAGCCTGGTTAAAAGGATTGGATCCGAAGCAGAATAGGTCCATACCCCCATTGGAGTACCACAAAGTGTACACCCTGTGTCAGTTATATCCCCATTTAAAATTTACCCTAAATGGGGGGGTCAAAACGATGGAGGAAGCTGTGGCTTTGCTAAATGGCTACCTACCGAGCAAAGACAAATTTGATGGCGAAAAAAGTTATGTGAAAGTGGAAAACTATCATGTGAATCCCCTCAATGGGGTTATGCTTGGACGAGCTTGCATGGAGAACACCACCGTTCTGTCCCAAACGGACCAGCTGGTGTATAATGAGAGGCCCCCCCCCACAGCATTCAGCAGAAGAACCGTGTTAGACGCATACAAATCTTATTTGGAGGAAAACTCCACCTTGTGCAGCTTATCAAGTGCGTTTGAATTGTTAAAGCCAATTTTGGGCATCCTTAAGGGTATGCCTGGCCATCGAATTTTTAGAAACAAACTGGATACATACATCAGGAATTATGCCTCCACCTTGCCGTGTTCAGGCATTTTGGAGAAGGCCATGGTGGACGTGGACGCCGCGGCCCCCGGTTGCCTGGATCTACCCCTGGCTGACTACAAGTTGCAGCAGGAGTACGTTAAAAATTATTAGGAGAATGGAAGACTTGTGGGAGAAAGAGGCCGGGTTAGAGGCCGAGTAAGAAAGCCCTGTTAGATGCCCACGCAAGTGTCGCACACTATTTTGTTTTAACCCTTCGTATTTATATCAAACTGCTTCACTGGGCACCCTCTACACGTTTGGCCGTCGGGCAGGCGCATCTCTAATTTGTGCTAACTGAAATTTTAGCGCACTTTTGCCGTGGCGTAGCGTAGCTTAGTTCGTCTTTCTCGGCTCACTTTGCTCGCTCAGCTCAGTTTGGCTTCTTCTTCTTTTTTTTTTTCTTTTTTTTTTGTTAACCCCGTTTTGTCTCATTTGTGGATCAAACCGTGCTTTACCCTGTAGGGGGAGAGTACGCCTTTTCTCACGTGCGCTCTAATTTGACGTGCCTATTATGCCGTGTTCGCGCCAGCCCCTAATCTTCACTAACAGACCTCACAACTTCATCCACTTCGACCAAATAATCCTGTTGTAAGGACCTACACAGTAGGGGAAAATGTTTGCCATTTGTTTGGAATGGCGTGCAATAGGGGGGGGAGGAACCGTTTGGTGCAAGCGACTCTTTTCCAGATATTGCACACGAATTGGGGGGTTTTCTACTGGCTACTTGCCCAATAAGCGGTTAGCTTTTCCCCAATATGCCTTACATGTTCTTGGTCAAATTAGTGACCACGGAATCTTCTGGCCCGTTTAGCTTATCCAAGGTTTTCTTTAGCACGCTGGAAGACTGGGTAAAGGGGGGAAGCGGAAAAGCGGCGATGAGGTATATGTGTAACTATCGGTTTGTTCTCATGTGTGGAGATGCCCCGCCGATTGCAAAGTCCCCATGGAGATGCGAAGAAAAGAGAATTGTTTGTATCTCCTGCGATGTTTATATATCCATCCTTACCTTCTCGTTGTTCTCCTTACACTTTTTCAGCTTCGAAATTGTCTCCTCTTTGTTGTCATTCCAAATCGAATGGATAACTTCTATGATGTCCTCGATAGGTGATATTGGACTGCCGTGAGGGAAAAGGAAAAGGTTGTTTTTGCCATTCTTTTTTTCACAGGGATGCCACCAAAAAAGCGTGCACAAAGGTAGTGGTAGGGGTAGGAGCAAAAACAGGGTGTGTTCATTGTATCATGCTCAGACCCCAAAAACATAATCAACCTTATTGGCATAATGGCATACAGGAGGACGTACCATATGTCGAAGGAATTTTCGGTTACGAGAAGCGGGGGGTGGAGATTGAAGGAAATGCCCCCCCCTTCGAGAATGTCGTTTGTCATTTTACGATGTATATTCTTGGTCCCATCTTCCTGCTGCTCTTCTTTGCTCATGAGTAGGTTCTTCTCCATCAGTTTAACGCGACGTATGAGATTACTCTTCTTCGCTCGTATGTCCTGGCGCGTGAGGGTTGATTTCACCCTTTTGAAATCATTTGGATCATCCGCATGTTCAAAGCCGCTTCCAATGTTGCTATTTTTTTTGTTCATTTTGAGCTTACTGATAATCATCGGAGCGGCGTCTTTTGTGTTCGCTGTCCGGGGGACATTTTTTTTACTGGTTAGGTTAAAATTGGGAATAGAATTGTTGAAGTTCATTTTCCCGGTGTAGTTGGTGTCTTCCGACATGCCGTTGATCTCTTCGAATGAGGAGACATCACCCTTATCGTGGTCGCTTCTTTGCAGGTAGATCGAATCAGTAGTGTCCTGTGACTTGAGCGCACCTTCCTTCGTCCCTGCGATTTTCCCTTCCCGTGTTTCATTTGCCCCTATCCCCAATTTGGCTGATTCCTTTGACGCTGAAAGATCCCTTTTGAAACTTTTTGATGCATAAGAGATTGGCATTTTTATGATATTTTTTAGGATCGATTTTTTTGTTTGCATCTCTTTTACGGGGTTTCCACCTGCGTTGGGACTAATCACTAGGTCATTCTCATCATGTTCCTTCTTTGGGGGGTAACTTTTCTTCTTGTCTACTTGGTACATCCCTTCCGAAAGGTTGGATTTTTTCATTAAAAGGTGTTTATTCTGGCTCAGGTTTGTGCCACTCTTTTGTTTCTTAATTGAATACGTAGGGTTCAGGTTTAGGGGGACGTCCTTCTCGGCCGAGTCATCTTTACGATCCGTGTTTGTTTCGGAGCTGTCACCATTGGAAGATCCGTCTATCAGGGAAACCACCTGGATGGATTTCCTTTCATCCTCCGTTAGGATGTCCAACAGTTCTTCATTTACGCTTGGCGAGGTGTGAACGCCGTTCCTTTGGAGCTCAGCTTCTGTGGCGCTCCTTTGTGTAGGCACTTTGGCTTTCTCCACATTGGTTGTTCCGTTCACTGCTTCCCTTTTCGCTTCCTCCGTCGCTGTCCCTTTTTCGATTTCCTTTGCTTCCCCCTTCGCTTCCTCCTTCAACGTCTCGAAATCTTTGAAGATCTCCTTCACCTCCCTCCCCAGTAGAGGCTCCTCCTTACTGGGGTTCCTTTGTGTCTCCCCGAGAGTTTTTTTACTTTTGGACCTTCCGAAAAAATTCAATCTTGCGAAGCTAAAAAGGGCGTCCTTCTTTTTCTTATTTTTCGCGCTTCCGGAGGCCTTAAATTTAAGGGCGTCTTCTTTCTCCTTGTTGGCATCCCTTTCTTCCTCGTTTTTGAACCCCGATTTAAGGGAGGGCTCCTTTGGGGGCCCGGGGAGTTTATAGCCTTGCAGGGTCTCCTTTTCAGACTCGTTTTTCTTTCCCCGGCGGAACAGACCCATCTCGTCGAGCGCGGGGAGGCTGTTTTAGCAGGTTACCCGATTAGCAGGTGAGGTGATTAGCTGGCTAGCTGGTTATCTGGTTAGCGGCTGTCTTAACAGCTTGGCCAAGAACTACTTAGCCTTTTTCTCCTGTACACACTCACGGTGACCACACAGTAGGGAGAAATGTATCCCCCAAGTTGCGGTGAACTCGCCGTGCACCCCCAAAGGTGCGCTAAAGCGAACAAATTTAAGAGAGACTTAAAAACAATTAAAGACAGGATAATTTACCCCCGCAGAGGATTGGCCAATATTTTTACCGATCTGAGGAAAGAGGCGCAGTTGGCTGGAATATTACACATAATCAGACAGATAAAACGAAATAACCATCCTGTGTGGATAATAGTCCACAACAAAACGGTTATTCGGTTAACCGATTAAGCGGCGCAAGGGAGAAAAGTTCGCAAATGTAGAACGTGACCGGCGCGGAGGCCAATTTTAAAAATTGTCCGCCGGGTAGCCACTCGCCATTTGGACGGTTAAAAAAAAAAAAAAAAAAAAAATTAAAATAAAATAATATAAAATAAAATTTCAAATTAAGATGAAATCTCAAATTAAAGTGAAAATTAAAAAGTTAAAAGTTAAAAGCTAAGAGGTTAAGAAAAATAGTTGTTACCAAAACAGTTGCAAACGTGACTGTGACGTAAAGTGGGGCAACGCGCGATTGGCGCGAAAAGTTGACTGGCGAAATGCCCTGGATTTCTTCCCCATCCGCTTCTCCTGTTCTTCCCCTTTTGACCAGAACGACGGGGGCGGCAACCAGAACAACGGTTTCCCGTGCACACCAATATTTTTTCTTTTCTTTTTTTCTTTTTTTTTAAATATGTCTTACTTTAGTGAGGAGAAAAAAACGGTGGTGATGCAGGCCCCTTTTTTTTATTTTCATCACAGAACAAAACTGATGCTTCGCATTTTTAATCTGCCAAATTGTTGTCTTCACGCCGGTTGATAATTCACCATTTCGTTCTTCTTTCCTGGGGTGTAAAAGCGGATAAAATGTCTCCAAAATTTTTTTTCTCGCAAACATTGCGCGCGTAGGCGTTAGGTCGGACATGAAACGGATTTTTTCTTTTTTTTTTTTTACCGAGCGATGGAAAATTAATTTGGCAATTTGCGCACTTACAAATTGTTAATTTACAAATTGGTGACTCGTCCATCTGCCGATGTGTCAACCTGCCAATCTTCCATTATGCCGATCTGCCGCTCTTCCCATGTGTGTTCCACTTTGCATGGGCGCATGTTGGCGGCCCCACCGCTCTGCTTATCTCTTTTACAAATGCAGCTCTTGCCGGATGGTGGGCTTGCCACATGCCCCAATCGTGTCTGAGCAGTGTCGAGGGGTGGACAAAAATTGTGAACAGTTCGGGGCGATTTGGGCCAATTCCAGAATGCATGACGCTTTCACCCCCCATCGCCTTACCACTCCGCCACCTCGCCGCATATGAGCGCAACATATTGTTCCTTTAGGGCATCCTCCATAGATAATCCGTTTTGAAGTTTCTCCCTATGGACGCGCAGTTTCATGACCGATTTGGGGGGGAAAAATAAACGTACGCACACGTTGGTACCTGGCTGATGATACCAGTGGGTACCGACGCATGGGACACCTTCACATATTCTCGTTCCTTGTGCTGAGTTCAGAGTTGTCCCAGTTGCGCCTACTTGCTCATTTGCGTGACCCTTTCCTACGCCCCCCTTTTTCACACAGAGGAAAAGGAAACGTACAGAAAAATGAAGGGGCAAATGATGCCGCGACAAAGGGTGTGACATTTTGGTGCAGGAGGTGAGATGGCCGTGTGGCGGAAACTACTTTTCTTTTTCTTTCTTTTTACTAAAACAAATATTTTACAGGTGTATTTTTACAATACACCCTCAAAATGTATATATTTCTTGATCGCCAGTTTAACCGTTTAGGCGGGAAAATTCTCCTGCAAAAGTAGGAGAACCCTCCAGGGAGACATACTTGTACACTCACACATGCACGTATGCGTAACGACACAGATTTATGAACATTTCCGCCAGGGGCCAGACCATGGTTGTGCCCCAAAACTGTTGCGGGGATTTTCTCAGGAGGGAACACATGCGCGCGGGGAGATGGGTGTAATTATTCGCCTGTGCAGAAGCCTGTTTGTACGCATGTCTATGCATCTATGCATGCGCCTGCGTCCCTGCACGCCCCGCTCACAACTTGCGGGGAACCTTAAAGGAGGAAAAGACGGGCTTCCTTTGCACATTAGTGAAGTACGAAATGGAATGCGTCATTTTCTCCATCTTGGGGGACCGCTCCTCCTGCAGCTTGTGTCTTTCCAGTTTGTTCTGCTCCATCAGCTCCTCCCTTCTCTCCAGCTCCTTCATAACTTCAATGATGCCCTTGGCTCGGATTTCTTTCGAAATTATCGATGATGCACTCTGGAAGGGAACAAAGCCTTTAATCTTTCGCTCTGTTATTTTATACTCATCTAGCCCACGTTCCTTGTCTGAGTCGGAATAGTCACTTAGCTTATGCTTCTTTGTGTGGAGGACGCTGGTGAAGGATTTCACCTGGTTGTCACTGCTCCTGTTGTAATTGGATTGGATGTTCCAGTTCGCCTCCTGGTGCATTTGAATGACTCTCTCGATTTTGTGCCTCGACCCTTTTACGTCCGAGCAGTAGGAGCAGCAGTAGTCGTCATCACCGTTTCCACTGCCGCTGCCACTACCGCTACTACCACCGCTACCACCCCTGGGGGGAGGGAGCTCGCCGAAGTGCGCCAGGATCTGCGACCGTATACACTTCTCCTGGACACACAAATTGTGCACGCACTCGAGGTTGTATATTTCCTTCTCGTACTTCTTCTGTATGGTGAGGTCCTGCATGTCTAAGTTGGCATAGCTGCTTCGAATGATGAAGGAGAGTTTCTCTACATCCTCCTTGGAATAGTAGAGATAACAAAAGGAAATGTTTCCGTTTCGGCCAGAACGTCCAGACTCTTGATAATAATTCTCTATCGACTTGGGTAAATTAAAATGAATAATAAAGGAAACATCCTTCCTGTCGATACCCATGCCAAATGCTATGGTTGCCACTAAGATTTTCGCATTTCCGTTGACCCACTTTTCTTGTATTCTCTTCCTTGCGCTGTTGCTCAATCCGGCATGATAACTCAGGGCTTGGAATCCCTGCTCTCTTAAGTACATGGAAATTTCATCACAGGTGTTCCGTTTAAAACAGTATATGATACCTATCTTGTCCAGATTTCTCTTCTCCTGGATGATGTGAAAAATGCTTTCCTTCTTTTTTGTCTGGATCAGGTCGCTGTACACGATGACGTACTTCAGATTTGGTCTATTAAACGACGTGCGGACGATTCGCAGCGAGTTGAGGGTTCCCCCCTCCGGGTCGCAACTGAGTGGGGCGTTGCTCTGAGTGTCGTTAGGTATATCAATGGGGTTATCGCTCGCGAGGCCATTCGTGTGGTCCGTCCGATCATTCGTTTGGTCCGTCTGGTCTGTCTGTTCACTCGTTTGATAATTAGTCTGTCCCTTCTGATTCTCCTTCTCGTTCCCCTTCCCCCTCTGCTGCTCCCTCTCCTCCTCCCCGCAGCTCCCCTCCAAGTTCAAATTCACAATGATGTCCCTCTCCACGGACTTCGTGGCGGTGGCCGTGCAGGTGTACACGCGCACGTAGGGACAGGCCTTCAGCACTTTGTTCAAATTCCGATAGCTTTTCCTAAAGTCGCAACCCCAGGTGCTTATACAGTGTACCTCGTCAATAGAGATCAAAGCGATCTTTTCATTGAGGTAAAGCTCCTTCAATACAGTCAGGAAGTAGTCACTAGTGGCTGTCTCGGGGGTTACGTACAGAACTTTTATGTCACAATTATTGTAGTTTTTGAGAAGACTGAAGACTTTCTCATTTTCTTTTTTCTTGAGGGAGCTATTGATCGTTTCTGCGACTATATTTTTCCTGTTCAGTGATTTTGTCTGGTCATACATGAGGGAGATTAACGGACTGATAACTATGCTGATTCCTTCGACTAGCAGTGGGGTTACCTGATAAATGAGTGATTTTCCTCCTCCTGTTGGCATGATGTTAAGGACATGCTGGAAGTTTTTAATTGCGTTTAGACACTCCACCTGTTTTTCTTTGAATTCCGAAATGCCAAAATGCTTCTGCAGGATGGTTTTCGCCTTGTCGAGGTCTATTTGGCGGTACTTGCTTCTGTACCGGTTTAACAGATCGCGCGGGGGGGACCCACTCACTTCGCCTTCCGCCATCTCGCTCGTCCGCACGGATGTGAAGCGGGGTAAAGCGGTGTGAAGTGGTGTGAAGCGCTGTCAAGCGGCGTGCTAACCGGCTTCTTTGCCGCCGCTGTGGTAGCGTTTTGCTGGGCCCTCTCTAGGCTACTCCTTCCCGGGGGATGCACTCACTGCCGGCCGCCCTGCCAGTATATTACCCCCTAAACAAAAAATAATTATCGCCAATGTGTTCAGCGCCTAAATGCTCCTCACCCGCATTCCCTGAAGCAACACTTCTTTCGCTTCGAGCCCCTTTTTCCACAGAAGAGCGCTCAAGCAATCCGCATTTTTCTGCCCCAGTCGAATGGCCCACTAGTGTGAACGATCTAACTTGGCTGGGAGCAAAAAACGAAATGCACACCCGCGCGTGTATGTACACGTAAAAGTAAGCGAAGATGTGCGTTCGGAAATGCGCGTGCATGTGTGTACCTCTCGTACGCGCCTCTTCCTTAAGATCCTTGCGAACAAAAAATATGAAGACGGCCTGTTCCAATTTCACAAGTGTTGCCGGAAATGGGAAGCCATATAATTTAGATGCAAAGGAAGCGTCGGGAAGGGGAAATGTCCTCCCCAACCTCTTCTTCGGGTTGTTTTTTTTGGGTGACTACCTTTTCCTTCTGTTGACAGTTCCTCTGACCGCTTTTTTTTTGCAGCCCCTTTGACCGCCTCTTTTAGTAACTCTTTGGCCGTTTTGTTTGCTCCTTTTTTTCTTCCCCTTTCTTTGCGGTTTAGGTTTTTCCACGAATGCTCAGCAGGCATGAACAAACGGTTGAGTTTGCCCCTATTAGAAACACCCCCAACCCGTTGCGTACGCGTGCGTGCCGAAATGCACACTACTGACAGGTACCCTCACCACTTTTAGACGCACACTAAAGGAGGGGCGAAGGAGGAGGAAATTCAAAGAACACATGTGCAACCCTCCATTGGGTAGTGCGAATTCCATATGTGAAAAAAAAGAATTTGGGAGAAGAGTGAAGTTCCCTTTTGCCCTGTATGTGTCATTGGCGTTGTCATATGCTACGGAGCACCAATGGAGGGGGGCCTTTTAGTACAGGATACAATATTCAGTGTAGAGTACCATTCTGTTTTTCCATTCCGTTGTTTCATTTTGGTTTCCTCCCGTTGATGTTCCTTTTTATGTAACCTCAAGGAGGACGGAGAATCCGGAGCGGCGACCCAAAATGTAGCCCTTTCCATATACACACCACGCGATTGCGCAAGTGCGAAGAGGTTAAAAGGGGCGACCGCGACGAGGAAAAGACACCGTCGTGGACATGATAGGGGTCATAATGGTCATCAATGTTACCCGTTTTTTTGTGAAACATTATCGTGCAGTATAAGGGACAGCACCGAAAGGAGGAAGATGTGCAGTGCGGAAACTTTTTTTTTTCCTTTTTTTTTTTTTTTTTTTTACAACTGTGGTGTCTGTCCCCCCCTATGAGTATATTGCTAAACCTTTGCCAACTTAGTTAAAAGGGACAATTGTGCACTTTAAAAGGGGGAGGAAGAAACAACAGGTGATGTACATTTCATTTCTTTTCCCTCTATGATGAGATGGTGCATTTTTTTTTCATTCAGGACAACTGTTCCTTGGTGGAAAAAATTGCCATATGGTTAAGTTAAAAAAAAAAAAAAAAAGTTTTGTTTACAGCAGATGGCACGGGCTAACATTGTGTATCCACGTCCAATCGCACAACACAAAGTGGAAGGACGCACAAATGTAGGGAACACAATGGTAGACAATAAGACAACATGGGAAAATGCAACTTAGATTAATCTTCCTCTAGAGTTCCTTCTGCAAAGTGGCTTCATTTGCGCACGTTCCCGTGGCGTACATACTATCT